TATATGAAAAAGTAATCAATATTTAAAATTAGAACTCTTATTATCATTTTGTATTCAAAATACCTTTTGGAATTTTTGATTCAATAAGTTTTAATGGTATAAAGACTTTAGTTGTGTCTCCTTTTATTTTTTTCTGATTAGGATAATTGTTATACTTAGGCAATATAATTGAAGGAGCTTTTGATGACAACGTAAAATCAAGGAAAGGTAAACTTGAAAGATGATGCGAATTATTCTTCTGAAACTGACTGAGATATACCATAGTTTCAATTGTGTCTATACCAAGAACTAGAAAATATGATAGTGTATTAGTCATAAATATGTGATTTTGATTATAAAAACAATTTTAAATTATACATACTTAAATTATCAGTGACAATTTCAAAAGGTGAAATCACATTTTCATCATCGGGCTTACTTATCACCATTAAATATTTTTCTAATAAGTCTAATAAATATTCTGGACCTCTTCCTGTTAATTCTGATATTTGTTTCCATTGAGATAAGTAGTGAAGACTTAAAATGCTGCCTGAAGTTAATACAATACTCTATAAAAGTATAATTATGAAAATATAATAAGTTAAAGTGATACAATTATGGTAATACAGGTTATTCCACTTGGGGGCTGATCCTTTATACTTGCAAATAACTCTAAAACATATGCATGTAACAACACAAAATATGGCTTAAAATGTTCATTATTTCATGCAGAATTGATTGCATGCCATAAAGAGGAGCAAGGGTAACCCATTCTTGCATCATTGATCCAATTTTCTTTGTAGACACTGTATATACCAACCAATATTTGTCCATTTTCAACAAATTTGTGAACCAACTGGACAATTATGAACTTAAGGAAGATTATTTCAAATAGAATGGGCAGTGTACCATACCTATCATGCCAGTATGGAAGCAATCCAGCCATTTTTTGACAGCTGATTCATCTCAACAGGTTTGTGGCCACCATGATTGCCTGATTTAAGCCTACCAGATTTTTTTTTATGTTCTAAGACAAAGGCAAGGTTTATGCAAACAAAATCCAGGACTATTGGACAACTGAAAGAAAACATCTATCATGAAATTGCTGCCATCAACAGTAGCATGTTGTGGAAGACATTCACAAATATGGAACATTGTGTTGCAATGTATGTGGATGTTGGGGTAGACACTTTCAACACCTTTTGTAATGTGGATTTGTTTGACATTAAATAAGATATGTTCACTTTTTACAGCTTGCTATTATATTTATGCATTCCAGAATTATTTGCAATTTTAAAAAGTTAGTCAGCTCTCAGTGGGACACCCTGTATAACATTAAATGTAAAAATAATGATATATAAATTACTAAATTTAAACAACAATTATCATAATTTTTCTGCAATAATCTGCAGGAAGAATTTTTGTTGACAAAAAAGTTTATCATCAAAATGTCTATTTGCTTTCTTGGTGTATCAGCAATTATATGATACAGTTTGCAGAGATATTTAATAATTAAAAAGAAGTATTCTCAAATCTAGGAGAGAAATTAAACAATTCATTTTAATGTTGAAAGCAATGAAAATTTACAATCCAGAATTATAAAATAACTAACTTATCAGTCCTGATTTATGACTATTCATACTTATGAGTGAAACTAATACATCAAAAAAAATTATTTTGAAATCAGATTTTCAGATCAAAATTCCAGGTTGTTGTTGTTCAATGTATACTCAAATATAAACACCAACCGAAACTCAATGTAAAGCAAATAGACAACCACAACTGCCATAAATAATCAGGCTATAATTTGGAAATAAAGATTATACTCATTGTATAAGTCAACCTCCAAATATATAGTAAGCTAATGGTAAACTAGAACTGAAATGTTTAAATAGTTATACTGTAGCTTAATCTACAGTAAAAGTACTGGTATATAAAAAATTCATACTATTTTCATTACAATACTAATTATAATAATCTTGTATAGCTCATACAAGAATGAAAGTGGGCAACAAGATCTAAATAGGACACCACTAAAAATCTTCAGCAAGCTGTAAGAACCTGTTGTAATAAAGTCTACCAGTAAACATATTCATATAAAATCAACATCTTCAATAAAATATCAGCTTACTCAGCAAGGATTATAGTAGCAGCACTGCTATGCTGTATGTATGACAGTAGAATACTGTAGTGTACCTTTACTTATGCTCAGCTATTGGAAACAGTGCATGATGTTGTCTTCATTTATACTGAAGTTTTATTATTATATTACACTATCTTCTATGTTAAAATTAGTTAAATAATTTCACCAAACAAAAGATTTAGTAGAAATATTTGTGATGGCTTGCTGGATTTACTGTAAGTGGTGTATTTTCACGATTAAAAAATGGGTTATGTAAGCCACTCCTAGTATCATTGAATCTCATTCTAAGTCAACAAACTGTGTTTCTCTACTTTCTGACATTCTAAACAAAAATCTCTGAATGCTACTCACTTTGTGGTGAATACTCTGCATGTATTTTTCTGAAGTACTACACCAAAACATAATTCTATAAAATTTTGCTGCATATCTTCAGATACATCAGAATAAAATATTATTCATTATAGTAAAAACATTTTAAACACATTTTAATATTTTTTGTTGATTATAGATATTTGCATAGTACAAATGTCTAAGCAATCATCTGAAACTACTTAGGATAGGCATAAATTTATGTAGAATTTTATGTTACTTGATATCTGCTAATCCTACTGTATTAATGTTTGTATTTTAATATATGTGTACCCAAATACAAGATACTAATACTTACATGAATAAAGTCATTATCATGATAAAACAATAAATTTTGCTTTTCCACTTGAAGTTCATAATTTATAATATAATGAAGTAATTGAAAAATGATAAAAATATCATTTCCAAATAAAACATTTTGTAATTCATGGATAATGGTCATTTTTTCCATAATATCGCCAATTACACTTGAATTTAAAGTTATTTTTCTATCTTCAATATTGGATAACTATTCAAAAGAAGATAAAACTTTATTAAAGTTTTTTGAACTTTTTATATTTCTATATTTTTATTTAATCAGATCACTATTTTAAATACCTATTAATCTCTGAACTTACAATTTTTCTGAGTGGTAGCAATAACTTTGATGTACATTCAAAAATATTTGGTTCTTCCCATCCTCTTCTTAGACTGCAATGTCTCATTACATTACCTAAAGATTAATAAAATTTATATCGTTATTATATTATATTCCAGAATACATGTAAAACATGAAAGGAAGCATACTTTCCCTGGCTTAATATACAGTCGACCCCCCCTATAACACTGTTGATTTTTCCGTTTTATATGAATTCCATTTGTACAAGTCACTTAGATTTTACAAATACGTGTGCTGGGCTGTGAACGGCTCACGTATTTGTAAAATCTAAGTGACTCATACAACATGGAATTCATATAAAACGGAAAAATCAACAGTGCTTTAGGGGGGTCGACTGTATATACACATTCCTCACTTAACAACTAAAATATTAATCTGAATGTCTTCTTTTTATAAATAAACTTTAATGTTTTTGGTACATCATTTTTATAATTTTTTCTGCTTGTATTTTTATGTTCTGCAATATGTAAGAGATGCAAATTAAAACAAAGTTATCTAGTTGGATTTTCCCTTAGATATTTTCTTTATATAAAATAAATAAAGCTAATTAAGTTCCTCTTTTAACGATCAATTCGCTTAATGATCTGATCGTACGAACGGAACTCGGTGGTTAAGTGAGGAATGCCTTTATGCTTTGCATCGATTTCGTTCTATACAGAGCCGGCTCTAAGAATTTTGCTGTCCCTTGCAATATATAGGCTTACTTTGCATCTTCATCCCAATGTCAAATTAACGTTTAAAATTTTAAAAACCATTATGTTAAATTACGTTAAACAACTTTTTTGCCACCCCATGCAAATGCAACTGTTGCATCGTCGGTTGAGTCGGCCTTAGCTCTATAAGTTTTATTAATTTAATTTTTGTTGATGTCGACAGAAAGAAGCAATAAGTTAAAATTTTTCACTTATAATATAGGTAACCAATGCACATATTTCTTTCTATAAAACAAAAACCCTTTGAGTAAAATTTTCTAATCGACTGGGTATGATATAAATGCAATTATTTGTAAAAATTACTAATAAAACAATATAATGAGCGCATCTAACTTTTATAATCAATCAACAGATAAAAATTTCACATACTCTTGTAACAGTTAGAACAGTACAGAGTGGGAAAGAAAGTCACTTAACACCACTGCTACGGAATATAGAACGTACCCAAAGTTAATTCGCTCATGTCAGGAACACATTAGACAAAGGGGATACAGATTGATGTATGTTAATTAAACGCACGGCCGCCATCTTGATGGTGGCCATATTGAATGCAACTCCGAAACTGTAAATGGGAAGGGGGTCGTGTGACACATCATTTGGGGTCAGAATTTCACAAAGAATTGGTTGCTGAAAGATTTTATTGACCTACCTTGAACAGTTACAGAGTTATGCACGTTACATGATATGCTCAATGTATCAATACATTCTTTGGGTACATTCTATATTCTGTAGCAGAGATGTTAAGTGACTTTCTTTCCCACCCTGTAGAATTATGAAATATTGTTAGTGAAAACCCAATTATAAAGGGCTTTAAGAAATGTGTTACTAACAACTTTGACAGAACAGAGTATGATGACAACGAAATAGAAAATAGAAATGATGATAGGGAAAGTTCCGACGAAGATGAAAGTGATGAAGTTTTATTTTAATAACTTTATAAATTTTTTAACGAAAATTGCTAACTTTTTGTATGAAATAAACTTAATAAAAGGTCGACTTACAATATATTCGGGTCTCATTATTGCTTTTTTTTTTTCAAAAAGTAAGGATCCCAAAATTGGAGATCGCCTTATATTCAGACCAATATGATATTTTTCAATTCATAAACATTAGAATTAAACTTTTAGTCGTAAGAAATTATTTTTATTCTAAAACTTACCAATTGCACCATTCGGACATGGCTGTACCGTTGTTTGATCAAAGGGAGTTCTGTTCCACCAAATATTATTACTAAATGATTTAGGACATCCATTGTATATCACTAGTAAATAACATAAAAATTACTTTATTTTATAAAAAAGAAAAATCTAATTTTTTAAAGTTAAATGAACAAATTATAAAACATTTAATATAAACATTTTAAAATTATTTTCAATAAACTTTCATTTTAAATTATATTCTCTCTACCTCAAATTAGTAGCTTGTCCCTGTATATCAATAATCCCTGTTTAACAATAGAGTCGTGCCGGTGTTATCTATCTAACACCTTTCAGGGGGAAATTTTTGAATTGAAATAACGTGACTTCCGGTTTGAATCGGAACTTGTATATAGTTAATTGAGGCCTCCAGACCCTAAGGTTTCCAAACTTACAGGAAGAATTTGGTCTCGTCTTTCATCTATCTAACTCCGTTCTCGAAATTAAGGAAAGGCGGACAGAGAAGCGACAGGGAAATTTATAGGTGTACAGTTTTTTCAAATTGAAACCCAATTAACTCATTCCCAGACCCTAAAAAATACTCATTTCGATAAATTTAAAACAGCAAATGTGCATAATTTAAGGTTAAAAATAAAATTAAATGTCCTAATAGAGACGTTGCCGCCGACGTCTTCATCGCGAAAACGTGTACGTTGGACGTTCAGCGCCGCCTTCTTGTAAGCCTAGAAGTTTGACAATGGCGTTTGGAACGTCGAGCATAATAACACTGACGTTCCAAACGCCATTGTCAAACTTCTAGGCTCACAGGAAGGCGGCGCTGAACGTCCGACGTACACGTTTTCGCAATGAAAACGTCGGCCGCAATCTCTCTAATAATAAATTAAAACATGAAAACCATAAGTAAAATACGTAAATATTGTATAATAAATTGAAAATTGCATTTACTAGTCGCACACTGTCGACTTCGGTATCTTATACAAGGCCACCAGATCCACGACAGATGATACCGCTTTAATGCTTCGCAGTAAGTTCCTTTTTCATCTCCATCATCAATATTACAACCTTCCTCTTAAACTTTCATGCTTCCATTCACTTCTCGGATGCCACGGCTAACAAGTAACTTAAAGGTTATATTGGGTCGAACGGGAAGTTTTTGCGTATTTTTAACAGCTTTAACATAAATTACACAACTGTTATAATTAAATCTAACACATTAACAATATAACATTACTAATGTTATAGTGTAATGTGTAGGGGAAGATGCTCCTAAACTTCTAACGTGTCAAATGTAGTTTATAAAGTTCCGTTCAAGAAGTTTCGAATTAAAGGATTCAAAACGTATGGGCGCTCAAAAGCTGTTGACGAAGAAAATTTACAGGAATAATTTGTTGAAAATCGACGAATAACACACAATATATACAACTAAATACGCCAAAAATAAAGCATAAAAAGCTCTGAAAGCATATGAGCGTAACTCAAAAGCTAGAGCGAGAGACGACTTGAGCGAAGAATAGATTCCCCTTTAGCCTACGCTTCCAGTGTATATTTTTGTCAAATTAGCGTTCGAAGGTGGAGTCGTTCGTAGTACGAGTTACCACTGTATTAATTTTAAATACCAAAGAATTTTAATTGTGATTTCTTTATTTTTTTACGAAAATACTGTATCACTTTTTTGAGAAATGTTACTCTTAAAAATGTGTTTCCCAAAATTCTCACTTTTCTAATGTCTAGAGCTAGCCTTTTGATACAATTATATCTAAAAAAAACTATTTGTATTTTGTTTATATTTAAATTTTTCTCTGTAAACATTCATATTATTGTCCTAAAAGTACTGTACTATAGTATATATTCGAATAATTATAAATCATAAATATAAAATTACAAAATTTGTCATATTTGATTTTTAATTAACAGAAAATAGCAAAATATGAACATTCTTCATAAGATACTATTTTATTATAAAATACTTAATTTAATAGACTTTTTTATATAATTATAATGGTATAATCAGTGCTATAATTAACTTTTCATATGCCCTGTGCAAGATTATATTTTTGTGTTCCCCTTTTTTTTGGAAAAAATTTGGTATACAAATTATCAAACTAAAATAAATTGAAGAAATTTCTAACCTTCACATCCACGTAATGTAACTTCAGCAAATGGGCTTGAGCATAAATCACAATGTTTTCCAATAACTCCAGGCCTGCAATGGCATTGTCCTGTTTGGTAATTGCATCGATTGTTATATGATCCTGTCATATAACAATTACATGGAATGCAAATATCACTGTTTTCTGGCTTATAATGATTCTCCTGTTAAAACATTTTTGTATATATATTATTATATAAAATTTTTTTGTTTTTTTTAAGAAAGATTATATAACTTATTTTTAAAAAATCAGTTTACCTCACAAACACATTCTCCTGTAGTTTTATTACAGTTTGCATCATATCCTTTAGCAGTATTGCAGTTACAAGGACCACAGATAGGACTTCCCCACCACATAGAAGGGCATGTATGATTCAATAATATTTCACAATATTTTCCAGAATATGCTGAATTGCAAGAGCATCTGTATCCAATGTTATCTTTATTACTCATAAATATACATGTACCACCATTCAAACATGGGTTTAAACTACATACTGATTGACATTTTTCACCAATATAACCTAAATATAAAATTTATATATTTATTAAAAACTGATAATTATTTTATTGGTGTAAATTAATATAAATAATTAAGCATTTAGAAATACAAAAAATAAAATTTGAAAATTTAATTGTGTTGATATTGCAACACATTAAATTTTATGAATTATTTTTCCAATTAAGACATCTTTTTTCTATTTGAATGTAATAAGATTTAGTATTTATATTTTAAGGCATATTAAGACAATTGATTGATTATATTAACCAAAATTAAATGTAATATAACCATTTAATTATTTTTAAATAAAAATTTAAATTTTTCATAATAAACGTATATTACCTGGTTTGCATTTGCAAGTGTAATTATTCCATAAATCAACACAATAGCTATTAAGAGGACATGGATTTGGATTGCATACATCTGGTGCATAGCATCCTTCAACTATATTATTTTCTATAACAGGGTGGATCAATGAATCAGTAATACTTCCAACATGCACATCCTAAATTAAAAATTAGTTTATTTATTATTATTATATAAACCAAATAAACTTTAGTTAAGAAGCAAAAAAATTAACAATTAAAACATACTTTTATACATCCATCAAAATTTATTGTGGTTTGTTTTCTATCTAACATTTCTAATCCGCCAATTGAAATTTTTCCAACGTAAAGTGATTTGACATTACCCTTGAATTCCTTTTGCATCTGAAAAATAAGATAAAAATTTTACAAACACATAATTTAAAATAATATAATCTACTCAAGGAATTAATATTTAATCAAATTTGTTCAGATATTATGAAAAACATATAAATTCTCTTTAGAAACTAATTTATGACTTGAAAGGAATAATAAATTAACTAATTAATATTTCTTAATAACTTACAAACTTTAAATATTAATCATTAATATTTCTTGTGAATTTAATAACTTTATTTTTTAAAAAATGCATGAATTAATTACCAGTAATAGGAAGCAAGGGTTCTAGTAAATTTCCAAAATAAAAATAATTATGATTCTTTTTTATTTAGTATTATGAATCTTAAAATATAAATATAAAATTTAATTTTTATAATTATAGCTACATGAGAATTAAAAGGACTTTGAATTAAAAGATTCAAATTTATTATGTTTTTAACATAATAAATCACCTTTTTAATATAAAAACCTTACAATAATCATATAGTAAATACAATTATTATTCTAAATTATCAAATAAAGAAAATATATCACAAAAAGTAATAATAACAAATTGCATAATGACATTAACTAAATGTTGAAATCAAAAAATCAGAATTCTAGTCCCATAATTTCTGTAATGATTGTTTTAATGATCACTTCAATTATGAAATGATAGTAATGGCTTTTATTTATTAATTACAGTTATCAATATTCTAAACCATAAAGATATCAGTAATGATGGATATAAATATGAATGAATTATTTTATATAAACATAACAATTTCCTTAAATAACTATTTTAATTAATAATTATTATAATTTTTAAAATCTATTTTTAGTTTGTCTATAAATAACTATTATACATAATAATTTCATACCTTAAATTGATCATAGTCTAAGTTTAACTCAATGTACTTTGCTGTCCAAATTGCATCAACATTGTGCCATTTTCCATCATTAACTTTAATGCTATCTATTTCCATACTCTCATTATTAAAAGAATATCGAAGAATACTTTTTGTTATCTGAAAAATCAAAGAAAATTCTTGTTGGAGATCTTTAAATATTTGTAGAAAACATTAAGATGAAATCAAAAATTTTAAATTAATGAAAACATTCATAAGTTAATTATTTATTAAGTTATATTCTTTAAATAATAACTTACTTCTAATTTAACTTGACTATTAGCACCGAGTTGAATTTGTAAAAGTAAACCATTCTTTTTTCTACTTCTAAATGATAATCCTACGGACCAAGGAAGTTGAATTGGATGCAAACGAGGAATATAAACAAGGAATCCTTTTCCCGAAAACTGTTTAATAATATTTTCCACTAATAAATAATTTAAAAACTTTAATTAATTTTAAATAATTTTTAAAATGCAATGATTTTAATTTATATAATTGAAATTTGAGTTTAAAAATCTATAAAGTTTGACTCTAATAATTTTTATATTTAAGAATAAATACATCCATAAAGATTTCTGTAATTTATATTATTATTTTTTAGATATATATTGATAATTAATAGCTAACCTTTTCCACAATCTTTTCCTATAAAACCAGGTTTGCAATGACATATAAATGAATCCCAACCATCTTCACATATGCCACTATTATGACAGGGATCTGATTTACAAAAATTTTCTTTCTTTTTGCAGCCTGTTTCTGTACCATTAACACTTATGAAACTATAAAACAAATGTAAATAAATTAATTGATTATTTATTGTAGATTTTTCAATCACATTATTAAAAATAAATTAGTATTTTTACCCATCCAGATCTAATAGTTTGTGATCAATATACACATCAGAGATACATCCGACAAAATGTCTTTCAATGTTATGTAAACAATTGAGTGATGACGGGAGGCCTCCAATTAATAAAGGTCCCGTGAGATCTAAAAATCGATAACAAGTTTGCATTGTGTCTACACATCTGCAAAATAAATAATTTAGAACTGAATATAATATAGCATTAAGAACTTTATAAAATTAAATTTGTTTTTAATTTTTCTCAATTATAAACACAATATCTTTAAAAAAATATAATTTAAAATTCCTCCAAAATCTAATTTAAATTGATAACATTTAAAATCATCATAAAATATAATTGTATTTAGTTAATGTTGATAAAAAAATATATATATAATTTTAGTATATATCTCTTTATAAATGATAATTTAATTGGACTTTCTTAGCATTAATCAATGGGTTTTTTTTTCTTTCTTATTTTTGTACAAAAAGTTATATTTTTTCTAGAAATAAGAAAAACTTAAACCATTATTATCATAATTCATACTATTTTAGTCATAATAGGAACATTTCCAAGTTTGTATTTCAAAAATAGCATAAATCATCATTAGTTCTTTAAAAAAGTTTTATCAAATTCTGGAATATTATTGATTAAGACTAACTTTTATTTCAATTTAATATAGATTTGGGTGGCCAGATGGTCAAAGCATTTAAGGATCAGCCTACTGCTCTGGAACTTTTGATTAAATCCAGGCAAATAATTCCCAGGAATTTTTCATTCCAGATTTTTCAGGCTCTGTACTCACCACTTAGCTGCCCCCCATTGTGTGCCTGACCAAACCCACAATGAATATGATTAAAAAGGTCCTTTTAGAATGAAAAGGGTCAAAAATAAAAATGAATACATATATATTTGATAGTAATTAACTTTAAAAGAATGTAATATTAAATACTTTAATATTAATTATTAATTTAAATTATAATACTAATCCATTAAGTAATCATACCTTTCTTCTAAATTAAATGTTGTAAAGTTTGCGCAATCATAATTTCCCAACATTTTTCCAAATTGCAATGATAAAGCTTTGTCGCAGTTATCAACAATTAATGTTATAGTCTGAAATGGATATGCATTATATTTAAATGTTTAATTAAAACATTAATATATGCTGTATTAATGTTTTATATTTACCCTGTTTAAATATATTAATTCAACTTCGTGCCAAAGACCGTCACTGATTCCGTGAGGTATATCTACATTAACTTTACTGATGTTAGAACCAACAGAAAAAGAAAACCATATTTGAGAATTGATAATTTCTAGAGCTATGAAGTCATGTTCTTCATTGTAACGTCCATTATATATTAAAAGACCATTAGTTTCACGAGTTGCAAATCTGAAAATAAAACATTTAATAATAGCAATTTCAATGTTGTTATATAAAGTAATGGAATAGAATATCACAAAAAGAAAAAATGTTATCATTTCTTTTCTAGTATTGATTTCTGAAGCTGGTGCCGTTTTGTCTCCTGATTCAATATTATTTTGTTTTGCGCTATTTCTTTATACAAACTTAAAACTCTATTGTTTTTTTTATATAATTTACTATAATAAGTTAAATATTTTTTATAATAAATTTCAATATAAATCTCTTTTATTACATAATTATGTAATTGTTATTATTAAGTAAGCATTTCAATTTATTTATGTATAATTTTTAGAATTAAAAATGTGCATAACTAAATTGAATAATAACGTTCTTATTCTTCTTTTATTCACCAATAAGTTCAGATTTATTTAATATATAAAATCCACATTTCAGTAATTCACTTATTATAGGATTTATCAAGAATTTCTCTGAATTTTACAGTTAAAAATCAAATGATGTTAAATAAAAATAAATTTTTTTAATGTTTAAATCAATCAGTCATTGCTAATAAGAAAACTTTGGATAGATTTTGGATAGATATTACAATTTCTTTAATTGCTAAATTGCAGGAGGAAAAAAAAAACATCTCGCAATTACCTCATCCGAGTTTGCCCTCGGCAACAAAATCTAATTAAGATTATCAGGAGTTTCCCCATAGTATGAGAGTTTCCTTAGTTTCTCTTTTATTTGATTTTTATGTTCTTTATTCTATATGATAAAAAATAATTCCAGAATTCTAGATCAAGTATTGATTTCTTATTTTAGAAAAATTTAGATCAATTTGTTATCACTTCTATAAATATTAATTAGATATAAATTAAAATATTAATTTTAATATTAGTTATTGTATAGATATATTTTGCAAAATATATACATTGTTTAAATTATATATTGAATGTATATAATATTGAAACTTATTTTTTTAGCATATTTGTGTTGAGGTGAAACCTGATTTACAGGAGCAGAAGGATTTCTTGTTGGGGGGAAAAAAAATCAATTATAAAATTAATATTTAAGTAAGATGTTATATAGATAATACATTGTTAAATTTTCTATTGATAAATAATTATGTAAAGACTAATAAATTCATTTATATTATACTAACTTCAGTTTTATATGGAAACGATGGCGACGATTTAAAGCTGGAAACATCAAATATGAATCTTTAAGAAAACTTCTGGATTTTAACTGACATAAAGGCGTTCTCCACAATTCGTCATAGGTACAATTCAAACATTCAAAACCTCCGTCTTTACGATTTAAGCAGTAAGAATCGCCGTGACAGACATTTGGTGAGCAGCGCCCTTTAAAAACATTCGTCTCACATCGCTCACCTGTCAAAAGAAAATAATAAAACATAGCTTCTTTTTTTTTAAAAAAAAGGAGATATCAAATGGTATTTTATAATTAAAATAAGTTTATTTAGTGCGTATTATATTCGATTACAAAAGTAGGTTAAAATATAGGTGTGTAACCTATTTGCTCTTCCTTATTATACTCGTCCTTTGCATTCAAATCGATAGGGAATTGTTCTGTTACTTTAACATGACTATAACAGTATTATTAGCTAAGTAAATAAAAAAAAAAAAGAACTAGTCCAATCATTTATCATTAGTTTAAAGAATGTGCTATTTAGGAACTGGTTAATCAATACATTCACTTCAGCTAAACTTCAGTTAAGATTTTATTTTTAATAAAAGTTTCACTAGTCTTGGATTTATTTTTCCCTTTATCGATCTAAAAGTAAATAGAATAATACCAAGTTCTATTTGCTCTAGTGAAATATAATGAAATTTTCAGCTTATTTTTAGTATGAAAAAAAAAATAACAATTATATCTTCTATAAAAATTTAATAAGTTATAAATTATTACTAAACTATGAAAAGTACATTATATACATAAATTCTGATTATAAATAATAAAAAAAATAGGCCAAAAATCCGTTTAGATGTAACAGTTAAAAGATAATATAATTTTGAGTGGTTTTACTGTTAAAAACAACTGTTTATTTATTCAATTGTTTTAATTTATTTTCGATGAAAGATTATAAGAAGTTTCTATCGCAACAAGTAAGATTTATTCCCCGGAAAGATATTATCAAGAAGAGTTTATGGTGCTGAAACTGTTATATGTCAACAGTCAAGTGCATGGTATTGTACGGCATCGACTGAAGTCCAGTAATCGATACAGCTAACTCTTGACATATGTATTCCTTACACGGTATATTGAGCAGAAATGCTTCCTTTTTTTTTTTTATCATTTTCTCACGTTTTCTAATATATTTCTAAAACTTTACGAATCTCGAAAAAAAATTCCGTATTTTCCTTTTTGTCTACTTTTTACTTTATTAAAAAAATAGTAACAATTAAGATGTATAAGTATAAAATAATTTCAGATAGATAACAACAACATAGAGTTGGTATGGAAACAGAATTCGACATTAACTGATAATTGCTAAGCAATAAACATATAACACGAATGCACGCTTTTAGACTTTTTATGTGATTTTTTTATAGTTAGTGGCTTCATTATCGAATAGGAAATAACTTAAATATTCACACTTTATGCAGATATTTACATTTAAAAAACGAATTAACGAGTTTACGCTTTTAATGCTTTTAATTCAAGATCACTAGAGAAAGGATTATCGCGTTGAGAGATAGTAAGTAAAACCCTCTTCCAAATCTAAGGGAGGAGAAGTCGTATAGTGGAAAAACTAGCAATAAAAGTATCCTGGAGAAATAAAATATTCCCCCAAGTAATGACAGGAAGTATCAGTCGATGAAACATTAGAAGGGCGGTCACGTCTGAACTTCGGATTTCTGTCTTTCGTCTAGAAGAGGGACCAAGATGGACTGAAATAGATTGATCCCTAAGCTTTTATTATCGAATAAAAACTCTATAAAGTTTATTCTCTTTTTTTTTCCTAAAATTAATAATAAATTCTCATACAAAAACCTTACATAAAATCAGTTTCTAAGCTTGAAATGATGACTCTATAAGCTTAATTAACTGACCGTAAAGATATACAGTATTTAATTAGTTTACACGATATATTCTCGATCGCTTCGATTTATATATTAAAGCGTTTATATTTACGTTAATATCGCATCTGTCTCGCTTTATAAATGAGTGAACGTGTTCGATATAAAGCTATACGGGCGATGCCATTCCATTTGTTTATAAGGGGATTTTACAATGCTACAATAAACACGCTAATACCCAACAAGAATGTTAATACAAACTTTAGAAATAAATAAATAACTTGTACTAGTTGAAGCGTAGAATAAAAGGAGAGATTAATCATTAATTGTATATTATGAATAATTAAATATAATGTAAATTCGAGATAATGATGTTTAATGTAGTGTACGAAATAAATTATTTGCATAAGGGATACGTCAATGGGAGGAGAATTTACATTTAAGGAACTTTTGATGGAGTAAATTGCGTTAATGAAAGAATAATATTGATCTTAGTTACTGTTTTACACTGGCTAAAAATCTAATTTTCCACAAATTTTATTTTAGAAATGTATTTATTCAGACGTTAAAATTGTTTTCTTAACCAAATTCCTGACTTCAAAGCAGAAAATTCCTTTGAGATTTTAAAGTTTAGAATATTTTATTAAATGTAAAAATCTAATTTTGTAGTAGAAAAATCTTTAAAACAGGCAAAATAACAAAAGGTTCTTTTAAAGATTCTCTTTTAGAAGATAAAAGCCGAATTTCTTAAAGTATTTATAAAAATCTTTACCTATATATCCGTTTTCACATATACAAGTGAAACCGTTTTCTTTCTGTTGACATCTTCCACCGTTTTCACACGGACTCGAATAGCACAAATTAACTTCTGTATCACATTCGTATTTATGATTCATGCCTTAAGTTAAAAAGGGGGGGAAATAAAAAATTGCTTGTGAAAATAATATATAGAAAATGTGTGGGGGGGAAAAATAAAACTTACTAAAATTTACCTGTAAACCCGGGTGGACATTTACAAGAATACGTGTTAATGGGGTGTATAGAACGAAATATAATAGTTTCGGAAGATATAAACTTAGAGGAATTTCCATATTTCGTGACAGAATGACATTCTTCATAACTAATACACGGTTCGTGGACACATAAGTCATCTTCGAACGGTAATACCTGTCAAGAAAAATCATAATCATTAGGAAGCTTTAATGAATTTTTATCTATTCTATAAGTTGAATTAATTTAATTAACTATTAAGGTCAAATCGTTGGAAATTAAGTCATTTTTTTTACCTCTTTTCTGAATAACTGGGAGAGAAAATTACGTCGTAGATATATAATAGATTCTAATTTTTTCCTTTCGTGATATTCTTTATCTCTGACTTTAACAGCAAAAGTGACGTTGAGTATTCTGTTTTTAACTTCTGTATCATCCTGAAAAATCATTCCAGTTATAAAATTTACAATAAATGAGTTTATAAAATCATTTTAAAACTTACTTTTATATTAAATACAACTACATTTTCTTTAGAACAAGGAACCGTAGATGCTATTCCTTCTATAAACAATTCGTACACAGATGATAAGAAAATCTTCTCGTTTACTTCTTTTAATCTTAAAGTAACGCTATTTTTCAGCATTTCGTCACTAATCTGTCGTATATACAGTCTACAAGTGGCTGTTACTTCATTAACTCCGTCTACATTTTTTAAAAAAACACGTATCTTTTACAATATTTTACTCAGTTTTATTTTATCTTTTAATCATGTAAATAATCTACCTATAAATTATCTTTTCTTTTAAATAAAAACAAAGATGAAAGTACATTAGCATCTTTGAAAATCCCCGAAGAACTAAGATGCAATTTCCATTTAAACGGATAAGAATTAATAACATAAAATGAAACTCGTTAAATTTTTTCAGAAGTCATATAAACTTTGTTTCGCTTACAAGAGAGATAGAGAATACAATTTTTAAACTTGTCCTTGTATACCGGAGGTTTAAATCCGACACAGAACATTAACTTCTTTTCCAATGGAAATGTCCATTCGGAGCGCAATAAAACTCTGTTACATCTTGATTTTCCCTGCTACATCTCTCCATAGGGGCGATATCAAACTGATTTACTACTCGCCCCCTTACCAAGTGGTTAATGGAAGTTGTTTCGACTCAATCGATTGTTGTTTCTAAAATTAATTTTCCAAGAAATGGGTGAGTCATCGATTACTATCGAGAGATGTCATTATTTTCGAAAAATCCTTTTATATTGATTACGTTTTTTTTTTGAATAATGAAACGTCGAAGAAGTGCTCTCGATTGTTAGTAATTTCATTGTAATTTAAACTCTCTCTCTCTCTCTCTCTGTCGGTATATTAATTTTATGTTAATATTTGGAGATAATATAAATATAGAAATGAATAAATGATAAATTTACAGCATTAAAAATAGGATGAATCATCTAAAATCTGGATATTGATTTGACACGTGACAGACACCACTGCAAATTCGCCATCAATCATGAAAAATTGTCATCGAACGTTTGACTTTTAGATGAATAAAACGTGACGATAGTTAAATAGGAATTTCTAGTATAATTTGGTAAGTTTTCCTCTATTATTTCCAATAAAAAATTAAACGTTAATACCGAATTTGTCATTGTTTATTCTTAATTAATTACCAGTTTATTCTAGGAAACATTCGAAGAGAAAATTAATACAATTATTTATTATATAATAAATATACAACAATTTACTTATAATTTAGTGAATTCGTATAATAATTTTTCCCATAAATAATAATTTAATTTGAATTTATTAACTTATAAAATGTAATTGGATGTAATTGCGAGTTAAATCCTAACACCCTTCATAACTTATTTAATAAAAATTAGGACCGATAACTGTTTAAATTAATTAATTCCGAACCATCAATAGACGTATATAATAAGAGTTTGAAATGTTCTTGCATCGACGACAGGTGATGCATCTATTTTTTCCTTTATATGCTTAAAAAAATGAATGGAAGAAGAAGGGGAGAGCCTCATAAGAGCTCTTTCTCTCATAAAAAAGAGCGAAAAAAATACGTCACGTTCAAAAGCAATAGGGAATATATCAAGAGAGGAAGAAACCTTTGGTCGTTATAGCAACGGTCCTTATAGAATTAGAACTCTCTTACTAAATAAAAAGAGAGAAACTAACTAATAAAGAACAGGAGAATGAAAGCTATACAGAAAAATTCAATTATGTAGCCGAATTCATCCTTATTTTCAGAAAGTAAATTTGTTTATTAAGTTATTTTATTTACTAGTAAATTTGTTAACGTTAGCGACAACATTTATAGAACTACATCACTCTCGCTTAGTAAAAAAAAAAACTTTATTAAACCGAGCCACTTGAATTTTATAGAATCGATTTAACAATATAATAAAAGCCCTAAAGCAGTGGAAGATAATTCAATTTTGTAGAAGGAAATCTTCTCGTAACTGTTCTTCTCTTAATTTGAAAAAAAAAAAATAAATAAATTTTCTGCCTGCTAACAGGGACGTAAATCAAATGAAGTAGCAAATGTCGAGTTAACGAGAAACGGATCACATAATTTGTTTTAACAAGAAGAGACGAGAGAAAGAGTATTTTTCTCTCTTCAATAATTCGGAATTTTTATTTGTAAATATATATTGTATATATTACCATTTCCAGGAGACAATTCTCTTAATTAAAGCTAGCAGAATAACAGATGAGAATCATCTCTGGAGTCTTCATTTGCTCCAGAGGAACAGAGTAATTATCTAAACCTATTAAATATGAAGGATGCTAAATACTTCAGGGTAAAACTCTGCTACACTTCAACATTAATTAATTTAAAAACATCGAAAATATAATTATTCAACTTAATAAAATACATATTTTATAAAATAAAATTAATATTTAAGTAAGATGTTATATAGATAATACATTGTTAAATTTTCTATTGATAAATAATTATGTAAAGACTAATAAATTCATTTATATTATACTAACTTCAGTTTTATATGGAAACGATGGCGACGATTTAAAGCTGGAAACATCAAATATGAATCTTTAAGAAAACTTCTGGATTTTAACTGACATAAAGGCGTTCTCCACAATTCGTCATAGGTACAATTCAAACATTCAAAACCTCCGTCTTTACGATTTAAGCAGTAAGAATCGCCGTGACAGACATTTGGTGAGCAGCGCCCTTTAAAAACATTCGTCTCACATCGCTCACCTGTCGAAAGAAAATAATAAAACATAGCTTCTTTTTTAAAAAAAAAAGGAGATATCAAATGGTATTTTATAATTAAAATAAGTTTATTTAGTGCGTATTATATTCGATTACAAAAGTAGGTTAAAATATAGGTGTGTAACCTATTTGCTCTTCCTTATTATACTCGTCCTTTGCATTCAAATCGATAGGGAATTGTTCTGTTACTTTAACATGACTATAACAGTATTATTAGCTAAGTAAATAAAAAAAAAAAAGAACTAGTCCAATCATTTATCATTAGTTTAAAGAATGTGCTATTTAGGAACTGGTTAATCAATACATTCACTTCAGCTAAACTTCAGTTAAGATTTTATTTTTAATAAAAGTTTCACTAGTCTTGGATTTATTTTTCCCTTTATCGATCTAAAAGTAAATAGAATAATACCAAGTTCTATTTGCTCTAGTGAAATATAATGAAATTTTCAGCTTATTTTTAGTATGAAAAAAAAAATAACAATTATATCTTCTATAAAAATTTAATAAGTTATAAATTATTACTAAACTATGAAAAGTACATTATATACATAAATTCTGATTATAAATAATAAAAAAAATAGGCCAAAAATCCGTTTAGATGTAACAGTTAAAAGATAATATAATTTTGAGTGGTTTTACTGTTAAAAACAACTGTTTATTTATTCAATTGTTTTAATTTATTTTCGATGAAAGATTATAAGAAGTTTCTATCGCAACAAGTAAGATTTATTCCCCGGAAAGATATTATCAAGAAGAGTTTATGGTGCTGAAACTGTTATATGTCAACAGTCAAGTGCATGGTATTGTACGGCATCGACTGAAGTCCAGTAATCGATACAGCTAACTCTTGACATATGTATTCCTTACACGGTATATTGAGCAGAAATGCTTCCTTTTTTTTTTTATCATTTTCTCACGTTTTCTAATATATTTCTAAAACTTTACGAATCTCGAAAAAAAATTCCGTATTTTCCTTTTTGTCTACTTTTTACTTTATTAAAAAAATAGTAACAATTAAGATGTATAAGTATAAAATAATTTCAGATAGATAACAACAACATAGAGTTGGTATGGAAACAGAATTCGACATTAACTGATAATTGCTAAGCAATAAACATATAACACGAATGCACGCTTTTAGACTTTTTATGTGATTTTTTTATAGTTAGTGGCTTCATTATCGAATAGGAAATAACTTAAATATTCACACTTTATGCAGATATTTACATTTAAAAAACGAATTAACGAGTTTACGCTTTTAATGCTTTTAATTCAAGATCACTAGAGAAAGGATTATCGCGTTGAGAGATAGTAAGTAAAACCCTCTTCCAAATCTAAGGGAGGAGAAGTCGTATAGTGGAAAAACTAGCAATAAAAGTATCCTGGAGAAATAAAATATTCCCCCAAGTAATGACAGGAAGTATCAGTCGATGAAACATTAGAAGGGCGGTCACGTCTGAACTTCGGATTTCTGTCTTTCGTCTAGAAGAGGGACCAAGATGGACTGAAATAGATTGATCCCTAAGCTTTTATTATCGAATAAAAACTCTATAAAGTTTATTCTCTTTTTTTTTCCTAAAATTAATAATAAATTCTCATACAAAAACCTTACATAAAATCAGTTTCTAAGCTTGAAATGATGACTCTATAAGCTTAATTAACTGACCGTAAAGATATACAGTATTTAATTAGTTTACACGATATATTCTCGATCGCTTCGATTTATATATTAAAGCGTTTATATTTACGTTAATATCGCATCTGTCTCGCTTTATAAATGAGTGAACGTGTTCGATATAAAGCTATACGGGCGATGCCATTCCATTTGTTTATAAGGGGATTTTNCGATTGTAAACGTTTCAGAAAATTGATCAAATTGAAAATAGTTCGTTTGATTTTCGGCAATTCTCTTCAGCGGTAGGTGTTATATAACAATTACTATGGTTATTGAAATATTGGATGTAAATGGGGTTTGCTTGCAAAACCTCCGCTGACGAAGTCGCGGGTAACAGCTAGTATAATTATATAAAACAATTATATACAGTCGAATCCCTTATAACACTGTTGATAATTCTGTTTTATATGAATTCCATGTTGTACGAGTCACTTAAATTTTACAAATACGTGAGCCGTTCACAGCCTGGCACACTTATTTGTAAAATCTAAGTGACTCGTACAACATGGAATTCATATAAAACGGAATAATCAACAGTGTTATAGGGGGGGTCGACTGTGTAAAATACAAAACATTAAAATGTAAAGAAAATGGCGAAACGTAGAGATCGTTGTTCATTAAGTTAACAACACGTAATAGATGAATGCTAATGAAAAACGAAAAGTTCGGCACTAAAATAAACAAATCTCGAGAGTTTCATCATTGAAAAGGGTCGAGATATAAAAAATTCGTTTTATTTTTATGTTAAGATTTTTACATAAATAAATTTTTGTGTAAATCAGATAATAAAAGAGGGAAAAAATGTGCATTTATAAAGCCAAAAGAAGAAAAAAAAATTTATATTTCTAAGAAAAGTTGAACTTATCTCCTTCTTCCGAAAATACTTTTCCTGCAGGAAAAAAAAAGCGCAGTATTTTCATGAATAATAAATAACTCCCACACAGTGTCACGTGAATTATTCATGAAACCACAATATCACAAGAGCACACCAGTTTCGGAAATTATATCCGACGTATTTATGATCATTACTTTCCCCAGTACGTTGGCTTTCCCTACTTACCGACCGTCACAATCGACACTTCGGCACGGTTCCACCTCCTACCCCCCAAAAAAATCTCAAAATGTTAATTATCCCTGGCGAGTGGATGAAATTACATACAAATTTCCCTATAACAAATCGATGACGGATAATTGAGATTTACGACAACAATCAACTTCAATCGTCGAAAGGACACGTTTCTCCACTTATCACTTTCGGTGTATTAACGGGGGTTTTTTACCAAATCGTTGGAAAATTACTTCATTTTGTTCACCAATTACGAATCTCGAGACATATTCGTACGTCGAGAAATCGATAACGCCATTACTCGGAACTGATTTTACACTTTCGCAGGGGGTAGACAGTGACCGTTAGGACACCTGGCAAACCTTCAGGAAAAAAAAAAAAAAAAATAATCGATACAAAAGCTATAGCGTGAGTTGTAACCATCTGCTGAAGATTTTAAATATGTTTTTTTTTGTGTTTGAAACTAGATAAATAAATGAGAATATCGCTTGGTCTATGCCTACTTTTGATCAATAAGAACATGTGACATTTTATGTTTTCCTTGGTTAAAAATATAATCGTACTGGAAAACATTATTAGCTAGTGGTGGAAATTGTCGATAAATTTGCTAACACACGCGATGATAACCAAAATAAAAGGGTATAATTAGATCTGGGTAAATATTATGAATGTTTTATAAACTTTATAGCACTCGCAACTCATTTATTGCATTAAAAATATCATTTATATAACTTAATAACTATATAAAAATAAAAGTATAATTAATTTTATATAGAATTTATATTCAATATTTTAATAGCAACGAATAATTATATTTTATTGATTAGTTATATCGTGTATCAGTGTAATTCTGTATTATAAAATGAATTGTTTTAATAGAATTTTTGCATTGAAAACATAAAAAAAATATATTAATTTTCTGTCCATCTGTTTATAAAATAGTATTACGCTAATACATTTTCGACACAACACACACACACACACAAATACAGTAGACCCCCCTATAACACTGTTGATTATTCCGTTTTATATGAATTCCATGTTGTACGAGTCACTTAGATTTTACAAATACGTGTGCCGGGCTGTAATCGGCTCACGTGTTTATAAAATCTAAGTGACTCGTACAACATGGAATTCATATAAAACGGAATTATCTACAGTGCTAGAGAACTTATAAACGTATTCTGTACGTTATAAGCTCGTTGTTAATACTGTATACGTTTTGAAAAGATTGTTTGACTTACCAAATACTCCAATTTCGAGTTCGGCATCCAATTTTAAACCATCTTGAAAATTTAAATTTGGATGAAAGTGAATAATTCCCGTGCCTTCTTCTACGTCGAGGTATTTCGAATTTCCCGAAAGCAATCGATATTGTAGCTCATCACCGACATCTGGATCAAAAGCGGGTATACGACCTAAAGATTCTCGAGGAAGATAGGACCCGTATACATTGGCTACAATAAGAAAATCATTAAGTACGGGAGCATTGTCGTTAACGTCAGTCACCCAAATGTCTACGTCCACATCTTGTCGAAGAGGAGGTGAAGAAGCACGTATGACTAAACTGTAGCGTTTTTTAGGCGATTCGTAATCAAAATCTGTTTTACAGATCAGATCGGCAGATTTTCCAGGATGAGGAAGGAGATGAAATAAATGACCGTCTGGACCGTCTACTATTCTATAATAAATGACCGCATTTGCCCCCTCGTCTGGATCCGTCGCTTCGATCTCTCCTACAACCGATCCTTGAATGGTATTTTCCGATACAAATAACGTTATTCTATCTGTATTAAAACTTGGAGGATTGTCGTTAACGTCTTGAACCTGTATAGTAACGGATACGGTAGAAGACAGTGGTGGAGAACCTCTATCCATAGCGCGAACTACCAGTTGATACATAGCCACAGATTCCCTGTCTAAAAGTTTTTCGGTTCGAATGACTCCGGCTGTAGGATCGATACTAAAAGTACTTTCCGGATCAGAATTTAAATGATATCTAACTTGGCCATTAAGACCAATATCTGGATCGGGTGCAGAAACTTGTACCACACTCGTACCCACCAGAACATCTTCGCTGATACTAGTGACGTATCTGGGAACGGTAAAAATGGGCGGATTATCGTTGATGTCCAAAACTTCGATTTCTACATTAGTAGTATCTGTCAGCGATGGCATTCCGTGATCTCTAGCTGTAACAACTAGAGAATAGGCTGGAACCAATTCTCTATCTAATTTTCTCATCGTTATTATGGCCCCTGTTAAAGAATCGATTGAAAATTCGGGGACGTGATCCATAGTGTAAGTAACTCTAGCATTTTCGCCTTCGTCTCCATCCCAAGCTTCTACAATCAGTACTGTGGTACCCGTTGGTGCATCTTCGGATACACTCGCACTATAGGGTGATCCTTCGAATATAGGTCTGTGTGTATTTGCATCCGTAATATTAATATAAACTGTAGCCGTATCTGATCGTCCTCCTATATCGGTAGCCGTTATAGTTAGAGCAAAGTTTCTTTCTAAATCAAAGTCTAAAGGTTGGGCTATATTTATAATTCCACCATTTTCTCGACTCGTTATCGAGAAACGATCTCTCGTATTACCTCTAGATATGTGGTACGTTAAACGTTGGTCGGCATCTTCGTCGTGAGCGATCACTGTCACAACGTGAGAACCTGGAGGTTCTAATTCGCTAATGCTGACTTCGTACAATTTTGGATTAAATACAGGATCGTTATCGTTTACGTCTTGAATGCGAATAGTGACATTACAAGTAGAGAATCTCGGCGGAATACCTTGATCGGTAGCTATTACAGTAAAACGATAAACAGACGTAATTTCTCTATCTATAATTCCTGATGTAATTATCCATCCGCTCGATGGTTGTATAGCAATGGGCATTAGTGGATCTTTTCTCTGAATACTATATTCTATGTTACCATTTTTGCCGTCGTCTGGATCATACGCTTGAACTAAAATCACTTTATGACCGATCGGAACATTTTCGGCTAATGATTCTTCTATGATATCTGCATAAAACTGTGGCGAATTATCGTTTACATCGATAACATTAATAGTTATTTGAGTAGTATTAGATCGTGGAGGTGAACCGTTATCTTGAGCTCTGACTAGTAATTTATAAGAACGAATACTTTCGTAATCTAGTTGAGACGACACAGTCAAAATTCCATTCGACGGATTTAAATAAAAATGGCTTTGTGTATTTCCACCGATAATCGCATATCTAATTTCTGCGTTAACGCCTTCATCCGCATCGATTGCTCGAATCTGTAAAATATCAGGCGATAACTTCGAATCGACATCTTCTCTAATAGTTGCATTGTAACTACTTTCGCTAAATTGTGGATAATTATCGTTATCGTCTTCAACGGTGATTATAACTTGAGCTTCTCCGGTTCTTCTCCGTGTTATATCTTCTGCAGAATCTGTAGCAACGACTTCTATCTGGTATTCCGATATCGTTTCCCTATCGAGCTTTCTCGTAATCGTGATATCTCCACTGTAAGGATCGATTCTGAAAGGCGACGTGTCGTCCTTAAGACTATACTCCACTTCGGAATTAAGTCCAGAATCTTGATCCGTGGCTCTAACAGTTAGAACTGTAGTCCAGATTGGTGAACTTTCTTTAATTTTTGGATAATATACGTCCTGTTCGAACACCGGAACGTGATCGTTTACGTCTTCGACGTAAACCTTTAACGTGGTTGTAGCTGTAGCTGGTGGTATCCCATCGTCGACTGCTTTAATTTTTAAATAATGTATATCCATATATTCCCTATCTAAAACTGTAGTAGTTTTCACCTCACCGGAGAATAAATCGACCTCGAACATTGTCTGGCTTCGTGAATCTACAGTTGCATGAATAGAAAATGTAACTCTACCTCTTTCCGGATCTGTAGCGTTTAGTGTTATCACACGATAACCTATAGCATTTTCTTCCGGTACACGAACAACATATAAATCTTTATCAAAAGAGGGAGGCCAGTTTCTCATTTCTCTTCTTCCTCTTCCCGATTTAATTTCGTTACAATTGGTACAAAATACAATTTCCAGGCGTTGTATCTGTTCTATTTCGCATTTAACCCGGACGTTAACCATAATAGAAAACTCGGATGAAGTACAGAATGATTTCTTAGCCACCAAATCTCCGGTTGATCTTTCTATAGCGTAACGATCATCGGAAGGTTGATCGAAAGCGATCGAACATCTGCGAAGTTCTAACGGAAGTAGAGACTTTAATCCAATCAACAGCTGGCTCTTTTTCGGGCATCTCGGGTGATTTGATATGATCAACAGATGACGATCATCGGAACGGTTGGTATTATTATTATTATCATCATCATCATCATCATCATCATCTATGCAACGTATTATTACGGGTAAACTGGCATGCTCGATGACCGGACGATGCCTCAATCCGTGAGATTTAACATAAAGAGTCAACGAGGATCGACACGCTACCGATCGTTTCAAGTAAAGTCCACCATCTCCGATCGATAAGTCGAAATAACTAGCCACGTGCGAATCCGTACGTTTACGATCAATTACGTAATGCGTACCTGATATCCAACTAGTATTGAATAACAATCCTCCGATTCTATTGTGATTTCCAGTTAAGAAAACATCGTAAGCCAGGCATAAATGGAGCGAGAGGAGGAGAAACGATAACGCGACTCCATCCATTTCTATCTTTGTGGATAAACAGCAACAGTAACATTGGGACTGCGAGTAACCAACAGACTCGATCAATCGTCACGGCGCGTGCGTGTCTGGCGCCGCTTATTGGCGAGACTTAGGTTGCTATTAGTAACGCTCCGCCTTTTTTTCTACGTTCGACTTAATATCAATAAATACCGATAATTTATTAAATTAATAAAAATTTTTAGCATTAATATTGTTATTTTATAAATTTAAAAAAATTTATTATTATTATTTTATATNATCTGACCACCCACTTCCTCCGTGTCCACTCCATCCTTGTGCTACTGGTCCTCCTCCTCCTCCTCCAACACCACCACCGCTTGCGATCCAACCACTTTTAACATCATAACCACTATTCCAACCGCTTTGTTTATTAATTCCACCAGAACCTATACCATCTGAACCTCCAGCACCCGCTCCTCCACGGTCTAAAAAATAATTTAACAATAATTTATCATTTTTCTTATATTAAAAATGTATTTAATTCAAATATATCTTTTCACCATTCATTTGTTTTTTCTGTAAGTGCATATTTAAACATTTTTTTGTTTACTTTATGATTTGAAAATTACCGACCGTTATGTCTTAATACTTTTACATTTCTTCCGTTTTTCTTCTTTAAAAATAGCATATTCAGGGGGGGGAAATCCATATTTTCTTATAACAGTAATATATTCTCGTCTCACGTCGGCCATTTTTAACCTTAAATTTTAAGTCTATTTCATTTTATTTTCGAAATTCTACAGAGTTTATATTTCTCAGATTATTACGTATTTCCTTCTGCCCTAAAGAAATCACACGAGAAATAAAGTTGATGTAAGTGAAGCATCAATCTCTGTCGTCCTAATACAATCCTCGAGTACAACATTGTTTATTTTCCCTCTTCTCCTTTAAAAAAAATATATAATTATCTAGTTCTAGGGTTTTTTTTCTTTCTGTGGATAATCTTCCACGGCATCATCTTCAGATGTATAAATTTTTTAATTATTAGAGAGATTACGGCCGACGTTTTCAACGCGAAAACGTGTACGTCGGACGTTCAGTTCCACCGTTGTATAAGTCTAGAAGTTTGATAATGGCGTTTGGAACGTCGAGCATAATTCCACTGACGTTCCAAACGCCATTTTCAAACTTCTAGGCTTATACAAAGGCGGAACAGAACGTCCAACGTACACGTTTAATGTAAAACGTTTATATCCTATTAGATACGGAGGGAAAAAGTACGAAGAATCGGAGTATTTTTCAATTACACAACTTTTACCACAGTCTTACGATAGAGAAGAGATTCCAATACAAAACGGTAAGTAGAAATTTATAACTTTAATAAGACTATAACTAACACGCTATTAGTTTCAGGAAAGACTGCTTGCACGGTTAATACGAATTTAGTTATCACGACTATAACCATGATTAAACCGGAAACAATGGTGAGATATAAAAATAAATAAATAGTACAGTAATTCAAGTACAAAAATAAATCTATTAATGGTTTTCTATAGACTTTCAATGTTGATTTAATCGTCGTACAAACTTGGCAAGATCATCGTCTTTTGGAGCCAAAAAATATTAATCTTCCTCGAAAATTAGATCCGGAATGGGCTCAAGAACTATGGTTACCGGATACTTATATCCATAGCGTGCACGGAAACTATCAAAAAGCTTTAATTTCTAATCAAATCATTTATCTTCACGCCAATCATACACTACTTATTAGAATTAGGTAAATTAATATATTAATTGATTGTTAATTAGTTTTTTTTTTTAAATTAAACGTTTCTTCTATACTTTCAGATTATTTTTAACTCTTTCTTGTTTCATGGATCTTCATAAATTCCCTCACGACGTCCAAATTTGTCGAATTGGTCTTCAGAGCCGTAAGCAACGTAAAATTAAACGTCACAGTAGTAATTTCGATCCATTCTTAATTCCACTTTATTTTTAATTTAGAGTCTTATTCTATGGACGAATTAATCTTTCGATGGTCAAAGGCCGTTGTTTTCAAATCAGAAATTATTCTGCCAGAATTTCGTATCGTCAATGTCGAATCTTTAACAACCCAAGTTCAAGATAACGACAGTATAAAATTAAATATATATAAAGGAAAGAGTTTTTGAAACCCGATAAAAATTAATTGAAATGAAATATTTGCAGGAAACAGCACAGTTCTTATAGCCGTTATTCACTTTGAACGTCGTCAACAGTTCTATTTCTTGTACGTTTACGTACCGAGTGTATTGGAAGTGTTCATCTGTATGTTATCTTTTGCCTTTGATGTCGATCAGGCAGTCGTACGCGTTGGGTTACTCTCGATCAGTATTTTAACTTTGGTTATTCAAAGGAACGTCGTCTTCGTACCATCAGCATTCGTAAAAGCAATCGATATTTGGTATTGTGGATGTATAACACTCGTTTTTTCGTCTATAATAGAATATGCCATAGTCTACAGATTACATTTAAAATGGAAGAAACGTAAAGAGGTATTCGATAGTATTTTGTTTAACCAATAATATAAGTTAATTAAATAATAAGACATTTTAAAAATATATATATGTTTTTCTAGAACATACCGAGATTTGTTCCTCCCGTAGCGTTAAATCAAATGACAAATAAGTTTAACGATCGAACATCAACTTCTATAGATCGAACAGCGGGAATTCTACTTCTATTTATTTTCTGTGTTTTAATAATTAGTTACGTCGTGTTTTATTCTCCGAGACTTACGTAGACAAATGTATATAATAATTTATATAAATACATTTAACGTTAAGTTTCCTGTCGTTATACATCGCATTAAGAACTGTATATAATTAATTTAAAAAATACGATGAATAAAATAGGAGAAGATTTATCGAAATTTATTTATTGTCGAATTTACTGAATTTAACAGTTTTAAATGTAATATATTATATTTTACAGTATACGCGAAATACAGTTAATCACGTTTATGTTTAAGGGAAAAATGGCAATTCGTAAGTCTAAATTATAATCCGAGTAATAATAATAATCTATTGTTATGAGAAATAGCAAAGAAAATTGAAAATTTTATATAATAATAAGTAATCCGGACGATGCCTCAATCCGTGACATTTTACAGAAAGCGTCAACGAGGATCGACACGCTACCGATCGTTTCAAGTAAAGTCCACCATCTCCGATCGATAAGTCGAAATAACTAGCCACGTGCGAATCCGTACGTTTACGATCAATTACGTAATGCGTACCTGATATCCAACTAGTATTGAATAACAATCCTCCGATTCTATTGTGATTTCCAGTTAAGAAAACATCGTAAGCCAAGCATAAATGGAGCGAGAGGAGGAGAAACGATAACGCGACTCCATCCATTTCTATCTTTGTGGATAAACAGCAACAGTAACATTGGGACTGCGAGTAACCAACAGACTCGATCAATCGTCACGGCGCGTGCGTGTCTGGCGCCGCTTATTGGCGAGACTTAGGTTGCTATTAGTAACGCTCCGCCTTTTTTTCTACGTTCGACTTAATATCAATAAATACCGATAATTTATTAAATTAATAAAAATTTTTAGCATNCTGTATATATATATATATATATATAAATTATGTATATTTGTATATTTTTGTAATAATTTGTATTGAAAATTAGTTAAACTCGTCTGGAATCTCTGGTGAAGTTTTAACATGATGGAACAGAATATTCAAAGGAGGAAAACTTTGACTTTAAATTTTATTTTCGAACAAATTCTATTTACGAGTTTTTCTTTTCAATTTTGGAAAAAGTATTTTATTTTTTATTTTTTCCTTTGAAATAAGCTTCTAAAATATTTTGTTCGATCATAAATGTTTCTATTATATATTCAAGGATTATTTTAAAGTTTTTAAGAAAATTCATATGAATTATTTATGTTTTTCATTACTTTAAGTTTTTATCGTGATATTACACAAAGTTAGAAAGTATTTTATACGAATTTTAATATTTTTCTACAAAACAAAATGTAAGCGTAAAACTATCAACGTTCATATTTCGGCGCTTGTTTATTGTATCAGTTTTAAAGTATATTAATTATATCAGCTTAATATGACTATATTTATTCAAAAATTAATTATTTTTTTCTGGCATTTTTTGCTGATGAAATTCTCAACGTATACATTTTACTAGTCTTTATCATTTGATAGCAGTAAACTAAGACATAGACTCCATTGTAACTATAGTAGGGAGTAAGTAGATAGGAATTCGACTGTATCCAGTAGTAAATTCCAAACGAGTGGACAGTTAATCCGCAATGCGTTTAGAGAATCAATGGAAAGTTATACCATGCTATTCTCAAACTGCTCTTAGTATAAGAGATAAACATTATCTACTAACAGTTAAGTTAGATAGTAAATTTGTCTTCTAACTATAATAGGGACTTTATCGGATTAGGTATGATTTTTTTTTTTAATGGTAAAAAAACAAAGTACAATAAAATGTGCCAAATATTAATTACATTTGTAGTCAAGAGATGGCGCTGAATAGATACATTTTTAAATAGGGATTTCGTACCTTACTGGTGCGCACGTGGTCTCGATTGTCGCGATGTGGTGGATGCTTCTCCTCACTTTCCTGGCAAAGGGCTTCACTTATTCATTTTCGTGGTAAGTCGTAACCATTCCGGCATATTTCTTCTATACAAAACATTTAATAATATAGAAATTGGTATTAAAATTATAATACGGTTTATAATTGATACGAGCCAGATATTCTATTTTTTTTAATCTTATCTAAATTAGATTTCCTAATGTCGCGTTGCCTTAAAATAGTATGTTCGTTTACCAGTATTTAAAGTAAAATACAGTAGACATTCGCCAGTCAGTTTACTATTTACAAGTATTATCTTACTACAAGAATTTAAATAAAAAAAAAAAAATCAATTTTCCGGTGAAAATATAGAAAGGACAGGCCCGTCTTCAGTACATTTACGACGCCATTTCTCTAGACTAAATTTAGTTATAACCTAATTCATTAGAACACAGTCCCTAGTAGCTAAGGAAACTTAAATTTCTCAATAAGAAAAATGACAAATTTTGAATTTTTTCAATAATAATGTTAGGCGAAGGCATTATTAATAATGTTCATTAAAAAGTGTAATAAAAAATAACTTTAGAAATACATTATTATTTTTTTATATCGATATTTTATATAAAAATTTGAAAATTTATTCCCCTGCGAATATATAATATTTCAGTCGTATATTTTTATGTTTAATTTATATAAAAATACTTTTAAAATATATAATATATTTTTAAATAATTTAACTCGCAAAATCCCTACTTAAATAAATGGCACATTTCTTTATAATTAAGTATAGGAAGATTTTCGGTAGCATCCTTTATAGGAATGTCAAACGTAATCAAACTTCACTACATCTTGGTGATCAGTTTTCTCCCTCGCGACGTGCTCGGCTCCCTGTTATTTATTCCATACAACTGACTAAAAAGGAAAACTTCTCCAAAACACAAATGAAAATCATAATAAATATATATAAAATATAACAATTAAATGATACATATACACGATACGATCTTTGCATTATTTTCTAAAACAAACTATTCAATATTATTTATGAAATTTTGTCCAGCTAGACAATGGTTTGTATTTATCCGTTTAAGTCACGTAGTCGTGTCTTTTCATCGTTTTAGTCACCGATTCTGCTTCATTATTCTAGTCTATTACTATTTATTATATCAATTTTTGTTCTGTACAGTTTAATCACTTTTACTTTCGTATTTTGCTGCATTGCATCAATTTTCTTCTATATTCAAGGTTATGTTGCATCAATTTTACGCTCGTGTAGTTTTATTTTTTCCCCCTATTTCTATTGTTTTTGCAATGAGAACCAAACTTATTACTCGATTCTATTGAAGAAAGTTATCATTTATATTTTGTAATTTGACTAATTTTTATTCCTTTTTATCAATACTACTTTATATTTTCTTTTCTGCCGAGTACCAATTCTTATGTTTATTTTATGTTGGATGTGTTTAGTTCCCTGGTATATTTTATATCTATTCGGCAATTGAAACCACGTCAGCAAAAATTGCTGATTTTGCTACCGTTTATCAATTTTGTTTATTTTTTTTAATAGTTTTTCTTATTACATGTCAGTTTAGCACTTAAATCCAAAGAAAGATTCTATAATTACTACAATTTCTAACAACTCTTAAGAGGATTCTCCCTCTCTCTCTCTCTCTCTCTCTCTTTGTTTTAAAAATAAACATTTCTACGATTGCATAATTTATTAATCTTAAACTAGAAGTAGTCGAAATAAATGCCAAATTATCAATCTATTCGCCAGAAGTGGTTACTATAATTCAAGTTTGAATCACTTCTCCACCCATTCGCAGTAATTAATCCCGCAGACAATTAAAGAGAAAAGCTTTTAACGCGTGTTTTCTCCCGTTTTAAAGGTGAAATTCGATTTTCTTTTTTTTTCCAGTGATGACTGCTCTAACCGTTCTTTATCATTAAAAGACATATTACCGGTTTCATACGATAAAATGAAACCACCCAGATATAAAGGTAAAACATTTTTTTACGTATTTATAATAGATTTTTCTTAAAATTATATAAAAATTAAATATATTTTAATAGATTCACCAGTTAAAGTCAAGGTTAAAGTATCGATACTTAACATACGATCAGTGGATGAAGAAAAGCAGGTTAGTAGAATGTTTTCTTACCTGGTTCCATCTATCGATATATTATTAATATATTAATATTTACCATTAGTCACGGTCGACTCGGTTTATGGGCATTTTGGTAGCTGACGTAATCACAATACGGAAAAGTTATCATTTATTCATGAAAACGAGTCATGAATAGGAAAACGGATTGAATATATTAAAAAATAATCATGTAATCACCGAACATCGCTTTATAACACGATATTAGAGAGATTGCGGCCGAAGTTTTCATCTCTCAAACGTAAACGTCGAACGTCGAGCGCCGCTTAAGTAAGCGGCGCTTCGACGTTCGACGTTTACGTTTGAGAGATGAAAACTTCGGCCGCAACCTNAAACTTCGGCCGCAATCTCTGTATTATCTTTAAAAAAAATGATAAAAATTCTAATTTTTTAATTTTAATATTCTTCCTGCTTGCTTAGAAAATGTTTCCTGTACAGTAAAAGAAAGTAAACATCCTTTAACTAGTTTTTTTTTTGCGTTCGATTACGTGCCAACGAACCGTTTAAATTATTAAAATTGATATAAATGAAACGAGTTTAACGTTGCAAAAAAAACTATTTTAGTTTATTTTTTAAATTAAAAATATTCACAGGAATTTTCGTTAAATTCTTACGGACGAAATGGCATTTAGATTATGATGCATGGCACATTTTTCAGGCGATAGAAATGGATATATTCTTCCATCAGTATTGGTTCGATCGTAGGATCAAAGTGCCAGCAACTTACGAAGAAGAAAGGATCGTGCTCGATAATAGATGGAGGGATAGCCTATGGATTCCGGATACATACTTTAAGAATTCCATTAACGGCAATGTGCACAATATCGTTATTCCTTACACATATCTTGTACTTCACAACAACAGTGAATTATTTATGGCAGCCAGGTAAGATCTCTCTAAACATCATTTACTATCCATATTTAAAATCTTCGTTAATATTAAGAGTTAAATTAAAAGCACGCGTTTAATACGAATCAAAATGAGAATAAATAGTAGAGTGGATGTTTATGTTAATACGAGATTGCATTAAATATTTCGAATTCCTAAATGTGTAAATTAAATTTTGTAATATTTACTTTTAAATATGTTAATTTTATATATACTTAAGATTATCTTTGTTAATTATAAGTGAATTGTATATATTATAACGAAACGTGCTCCGGGGAAATTTTGAAAAGAAACAGAGATAAAGTTTCGTCTCCGATCAAAGATAATTTATCGCCAATTAGTGCTTAGAAGTTTTTCCAAAATATTGTACACGGCTACGTGTACAATATAATAACAATATCATATTTTTCAGAATTTATTCTTTAGATCGCGAGTCGATTTTATCTACGCGAAGAAAATAAATTCACAAGTATTTTTTTCTTTTTGTTTAGAAAAATGACATTTCTTCTCTTCTTACACTTGTCAACCTTTCGAAAATATTTCTATTAAAATATGAAAAACTTGTACTTTTTTCGACTCAAATTCCAGGCATCGAATGTAATATAATATTTCACAAATTTAATATTTAAGGAAATACAAAGATAAAAGAGATTTCTAATTTATAGAATTACAATAGAGCATCGATTATCCGAAAGTCAATCATTCGAAAGAATTCCAGTCGACAAATTTAAATTTTCGCCAGTGTTGTGGCGCTGCAATCTTTGGCTATGTCTTGGGCTACTCAAATATTTTACGTTTTTGATACTAAATTAAATAAAAAAATAATTTTTAACGATACAATAGTCTTCGTTAGGCTTAACATCGACGAAAATTCAACGCGAAGCGACACGTAACGGAGAAAAATGTCAAGATGGGATAAATTAATATATTTTTTCGTACATAATCGGTTATCCGAAACGTCGATCTTCCGAACAACCCCAGTTCCCAATTGATTCGGATAATCGACGCTTTACTGTAATACGATAAATTGTCAACTGTAAGATACTATACGTATACGTACAGAATTTTTTTCGATATTCAGTCTTTTGACTTAACACTGATCGATGGATACATCAATCATCCTCTATCATCAATCGGTATCAGTCACGAAGTGAACTATCGATCATATTTACCCAATGTTATTGTTAACAACTCGATGATCCACATCACTGCTAAGTTTCTTATAATCCACTTAACCTACATATAAGTAAAAAATGGATCGTGTCGTGTGAATAGTAATTTAATTTTATTCATCTATTTATAACTCTTATTCATTTGTAAAGATTAACACAGTTTCTTAATCATATTTTGTATTTAGATTAGGTTTGACTTTGAACTGTGGAATGAATTTAGCTTCGTATCCTCACGATATTCAAGAGTGTGATATCAAAATAATGAGTTGTGAGTATCTCTTAAATGATATATAATCAATAATAATAATATTGTATTATGTGTGTCATATACGTGCAATCAATAACAATAATATCGATCATACAAACAGATCATCCGTTCCTCACATATCGCCGCATGACGGGTTTTATATATTGTTCTTTTGGACTCTTTCCGCTCTATAAACATTAAAAGAGGGCCCTTTATCGGGTCTATTGTGGGTTCGGACAGGCTCGTAATCGGGTGGTAAAGAACGGGATCCGACACACCACCGCCAAAAATTCCTGGGTTTAGACATTCTATTTAAACATCTGTTTCGAGATAAGGTCCAAACTTATTTTTTACTCAAAGGGTAAAGGAATACGTTCGGATCCTATCTCTTCACTTGTCTGAATTTTATCGTTCTATTAATAGCAATGTATTCTCCACATTATCCGTTTTCTTAGTATTTCTTCCCACAACCTATATACATCTCTCCAGTTTATTTATTCCTTATTTTGTGGCTTTTTATTCATCGAATAAAATGTTTTTAATTAGTTTTCTATAGCTGATATTTACAGATAATTGTTTACTTTGCGTAAAACATTATTCAGTAACACATTACTCCGTGTGGCAAACGCCTCTTATAGTTACTGTATATATAAATAAATATAATAAATAAAACTAAAGTACTGTATATTTATTTAAATAAAATTTGTTTTTAACTCTCGAAGATTTTTCGTGTCGTCGTATAAAGTGATAAAGATTTTAAGGGGAGTTCGAGTTTTGTTGAACGTCCAAAGAGGAGAGAATGTTACGGAAACTTGTAACGTCCTCCCCTTGTATATAGTTAATCGGGGCTCCGACCCCCGAGCTGGTCTCCGGTCTCGATTTTCATCTATCTTACTCCTTTCTCGAGATTAACGAAGAACAGACGGTGCAATTTGAAAAGTGCTTAGCGAACTGTACTGTTTATTTCACTGCTTCGTATGTTATACATGTAATTATTAATAAAACAATGTAACGTTCTGTACACCGTGCTATATATATATATGATCGGGGATATATGTTACTAATTTTATTTTGGAAAGTGGGTACGCACGACGGCTTTACGGAGCGTTAGGAAGCAATAAAACTGTTTATCCACAGACAGATTTACGATTGCGAAAGGTCAAAGCTCATTTGATTTTTATTAGTAATTCGTAGAGAAACCTGTATGATTACATACCATTTTTCAGGATTAAAATCTCTCTAAATTTTAATGCATTTTGACATTATATCCATAGTTATTTGATAATGTAATGCCATTATGAAAATGTAATCGTTATACATTTCGATCAATCTTCATCTAACCATAAAAACGTCCAGAAATTGTTGTGAATTTCTGGCCTTTTCTCAACTTTTCTATTAATTTTTTAACAACCATCAATCTAGTTAACGATATAAATATTTATAATTTTTAATTTACATATTGTGTTAGGTATATGTTGCCCACGCTCGATATTTGTCGTTCTGTAAAGCAAGTTCTACGAAAGTTTAAAAATGAATAAAACATTAATGTTATGTCTTCTGAATTTGCTATATTTTAATTTTGTATCGTTTATGTACTTATAATAATATAATTAAAATGAAACTTTTGACTATTTACTTCTTGTTTATCAAAAGTATCAAATAATATGTATTTATTTTTCAGTATTATATCCAATTAATACTGTAATATTAGAATGGAAACAGTTTCAAGTAACAAAGAACATCTTTCTCGCTCAATTTTACGTCATAGGTAATGAATATAAAGCGTGTAACAAAACATATGATATTGGTAAGTATATTTATTATATTAATTCATTCATTTATAATTGTAACATTGATTAAACTTAATATATGTCAAACATTCCATTGTTAAAAATTACTTACTTTGAAAAAAAAAATAATAATGAAAATTGTACTATTAACAGCAAACAAGTTATACCAGTTGATTTGTATTTTATAATAGAACCATTAAGAAGTAAATTCTTACAAATTGATGTTTAATACTTAAAAATTAGACGTTTTATAACGTTATTTAACTTACAATTTAGTGTAAAAAAAAGCATCAAATATTCTTACTTTTAACCTGTTTATTGGCATTTTAACCAGCTTAAAAAAAAAAAATTCTCTATTACCGCTCTGACTTGTCTTATTTGCCCTGTAGTTATAAATCGTTTATACGGGATTACGTCAGTCTGTTACAGGAAAGTGATTACCATACTCTATACAGGAACTAAGTAAACCCCTAACAGGCCTCTGTGTTTTCTTTATACGGCTCACACTTGATGATACGTCAATGACAGGACCTTTGGCGTTATTATAATACGAATAAGTGATTTAATTTCACGTCAAATAAACTGTTATTTCATTCAATGCTCTATTTTACACGTTAAAAACGATTAAAATATTCCTAATATACAGAAATTTAATAAGATATAAGATCTATTAATGTATGTATTTTATATTAAATCTAATTTCCCATCAATCATTTTTTTAAATCTAAGTACAGTGTAATAAATCATTTGAAGATTATAAGATTAACAACTCTAAAACATAGAAACACATGACAAAGAAAAATGATAATTTATTACAGCGAAATGGACGTTTATGTTTTGACACATACAGTATTATTAAATGAATTTAATTTTCATTCAACAAAATATTATTGTTTAGTTCCTTGAAGTGATTCTTGGACTGTCATTTTATTTTTCTAATGACAAAATGAATAGATACAAATGTATTTTATTTACCTTATTTGTTACCATTTCTAAACATTAGTATTGTTGTCTAATTCAATCTATATATATAAATATATTAATTAGTATTAAGATAAGACTTAGTTTTCTTATTTAGATACAGATTTTTCGCCAGAAAAACATGGTCGTATGTAGAATTTTTAGGCCTATACGTTATTTTGAATATGTTACATTTATGCAATAATTAAAAACGATTTAATAGATTTTAAATTAACAAGTACAGGATGAACTGAATCGAAATCAATAACGTATGCAACTTTTTCCTGTTTACAAAAAATTCTCCTTCAAGCGTATAGAAAGTTTACGTTTCTAATACGTTTTTCTGTCGTACAGGCTACAGTTTTCACTTTCAATTCCATAGTTATACGGTCATTGTTCTTTCTGTAACTAAACAGATACAATAAAAATCATCTAAATTGAAATTATCACACATTTTTTTTAACGAGAAACAAATATTAACCAGGTTGCGGCCGAAGTTTTCATCTCTCAAACGTAAACGTCGAACGTCGAGCGCCTCTATCTCGTAAAGTGACGCCGTTCAACGTTCGACGTTCACGTTTTAGAGATGAAAACTTCTGCCGCAANTTATTGTCTAATAATAGTTTAAATTATTATTACTTTTTAAAATCCCGAGATTGTCATCTAAAGAAGTGAGGTATGTCAAACTCGTAACTCGTAACAAAACAAATACATTTGTAATTTTATATATAAAGTAAAATTATGTTGAATAATTAATCTCTCTTTTTCGTAGGGTAATTTCTAGATTCCTCTTTAATTATAGTATAGAATAGATAAACAGGTATTTTATAAAATGGCGCTAATGCGGCTTTGTAAGTGCGTTATCTTCATTTTAAATCTTCCGGTGTAGCGCTTAACTCGTGTGATGATCGACACGGCAGTCAATAATCATTTGCTGACATTTTTTGGTTGGTTAGAACACGCCCAAATGTCACGTCGGTGTGGAGGATGGGTCAATTACCTCCTATGTAATTCCTCTTTCCGATTGGTTCTTGAATTCTTAAAAACATATTCTTGTTCTCGCCTCGTTTCCTTATATATTAACGACACACCTCGGTCGAATTTTTTTCATATTTTTCTTTTTAAATAAAATAATCATCGTCTTAACCTTTTTTCCCCCTTGTAAATTTCTTCCGGATGATATACGACACATCATAATAAAATAAAGTATAATTGTTTTCGTATAGACAAAACTCGACTCGTGTAAATCATCTCGATAGTTTTATCAGTTAAAATGATCGTAATTTATGGATGTATTATCTGATGTTTAACTCCTGTAAATATTAGCGAGGTTACGGCCGAAGTTTTCATCTGTCAAACGTGAACGTCGAACGTCGAGCGCCTCTATAAGATAGAGGCGCTCGACGTTCGACGTTCACGTTTGAGAGATGAAAACTTCGGCCGCAACCTCTGTATTAAGTGTAGTATTGATATTATGATCTCCGGGTATTTAATTAAATTGAATATAAATAAACATCAAACACATTTTCTTTTATTCTAATATGAAATTACATTGCACTTTTCTTCAATACTTATATTTAATATATCGTAATTAATTATTTCTAGGAACATTTTCTTGTCTGGAAGGAAAGGTAACATTACAAAGGAGACTCGGTTATTATTTGATCAATCGTTTTGTACCCAGCGTATTAATAGTTGTGATGTCATTCGTAACATTTTGGATCCCAGCTACGGCTTATCCCGCCCGAGTTACTCTAGGAGTAACTTCTCTTTTAACTATCGTAACTCAACAGTATCACAATACAAAGTTCTCGGTTTCATACGTGATTGCTCTTAATGTCTGGATGCTGAGTTGCATAGCATTTGTATTCTTCAGTCTACTGGAATATGCTCTGGTTATTTCTTTCTTGGATAAACAGCGGGAGATTAAAGTAAGTTAAATTATATATAACATTCTATATTCTATTAAAACAGAATTCATCAATAAATATACTCTTTCAGGAGAATAATGCTGTTGCTGTTAAACAAGAAACAAACAATCGGAGACCTTGGAATGGTCCTATAGTAGTGATTAGCCACGCAAAACTCGATAAAATTTGCAGAGTTTTGTTTCCTGCTCTGTTCGTGCTCAATAGTTTTATTTATTGGTTGGTATACGCAAAGTAAAAGAAATTAATTACAATTTATGTATTAAAATTAATACATTCAAAAATTATTCGTCAGCTGTTTCACGAATATCCGTCCAATTCTTTAAGAAAAAAATAATTAACGTGACGAATACGAGTAAATCGCAAGAAATGTCACGTTATACCTTATTGCACGTTCCCAGAAATACTGTTTTAAACCTTATTTATCATGTAAATTATCACTTGTCATTTTATATTTTACTGTTTAAAAATCTAAACAATACCTTTATAAGTTATATTTTTTGTGAAATAATACATTAATGTAGTCTTTTATTTTATAATTAATTTAATTTATTAAATATAGATGTTTTGTTAGATCAATATATATCAATTTTCTACAATGATATAGAGCTCAATTTTTCTATAAATATATATCAATTTAATCTTTCAATCGATTCTTTAGTAAATGTTGTAAATAGCATTAATGTTTAATTTGTATATTTGTTATTATAATTTCTCAGGTATTTATGTAAATTCTTATTCTTCCTCATCTCATTCCTATTTTTAAGATTTATTATAAAAAACAGGCCATTATTTATAGTAAAAGTTCCTTAAAATGTCCTTGTTCTTATTTCCTTTACTTGTGTTCTTGGCCTTTTAAGCTATTAACTTGTATACATCCTTTTAATATATATATATATTGACTTCTTATTAAATCACTTGTATCTTTCCAAATAAAAAAAAAAAATTCTTCTTAATTCAATGGTTTTCAAGCAAATTTTTCTTAAATCTTATAAAATCAAAACAATTAATTCCACATATCTGTATTTTCCTATTTATTAAACTATTGCTCAATAATTGAAAACTGTGATTTAACATTTTTAAAGATGTTCCTGTTAATAAATCTCCCCTATTTATTAATTAAAACAACTTTTATTCACTTTCAATATGTTTACTGTTTTTTTTTATAATGTTTAAATTTTATTTTAATCACTTTTTTTCTTTTTTACTGTTTAAAATGAACTTGTTTTCTTTATAAGATCTCTTGTACATGTCACTACCAAGTGCAATTGTATCAGCCAAATGTATTATTAAAAGAAAACTGTAACACCAAATGTATCTTGTTATCTCCAACCTGTTACAAATTTCATGTATATTTTAACTATAAAGTAAAATAATAAAATATTTAAAAATTCTAAACAACATTTTTACTATGTAAAATTAACATTGTCCATCTTTTTATCCTTGAATAAAAGGTAAATTTTTATAGAAGTTATAAAACATAATGGTCATGTTTATCAGTTTACTAATAAAGCAATTTCTTTTGTATAAATCCAGGACAAATGTCAAATGGTTAAGATGGCTCAAAAGATATTTCTGTCCTCTGTTGACCCAGGAAAGACAAATGACACATATAGTCTAAGGTCATTTATTGGTGAATGATTCCATAAGATGATCCATTTAATCAAGAATAAATACATTATAGAAAAATGATATTATATTCATATTTATGATTATATAAACTAACTTTTTTTTTAAGTCAAATTTAAATTATACATATAAATTCCTGGATTCCATCATTATATAAGTATATAAAATAACAAATTAGTTACTGTTAAAGGTTGACTGACCTTGGTTAACACGCACTTCTCCACGAATCAGAAAGTGGATTAACGAGTTTACTCCTTAGTCCCGACTTCATTTTGCTTACAGAGTTGTTAGGAAGTGGACGAACCGAATTGGCCGGTCGAGAAATTTAACAAAATAATAATAATAATACGGGAAGAAAAAATGTCGACGTAAAACTTACAGGTTAGTAAATTCTTCTTATATATTTATATATAAAAATTTAAAACTTTATAACATTTTATTACTATTTACGAACTAGACATTTTCAATGAGTAACATAGCTAATAATACAATCGACCCCCCCTATAACACTGTTGATTAATCCGTTTTATATGAATTCCATGTTGTACGAGTCACTTAGATTTTACAAATTCATAGCCCGGCACACGTATTTGTAAAAATATAAGTGACTCGTACAACGTGGAATTCATATAAAACGGAATAATCAAAACAGTGTTATAGGGGGGTCGACTGTAATATGCTACAATCTTTCCTAAAATTAACTATTATATCATGACAAAAAGAGGAAACTATATTATAAATTTATAGAAAAACCATTAAAGTAAAAAGTTAGAGATTTTATTAAAATGAGAATATAAAATCTCGGTTTCTATTTACTTTAATAGAAGCGGCACTACCTCAAACAGAGATAAAACACGTTGGTAATTGTATATTTTAATAAATTTCGTCCTTCTGTATTATAGTACCAAGCAGTAGAATCACACGAAGGACATAAAAAAATAGGGTGTGGTGAGAATACTTTCATTCGCCTCTATTTGTGCTCATTTTGTCCATCTTAAAATTCTCCGGAAACCAGTTCGTGGTAGAGAAGTTTTAAAGTAATCGATATTTTCTATTAAGGTTAAACATTTATAATTTTCCCATAATTTTTTACCATTTTTTTCAAAGCATAATAAAAAAAATATATATATATATATATATATAATAGAACTGGTTGAAATTTTAGAGGAATTTCTGTAGAAATGGGCACGCATTACTGAGTACCGGTACCAATTTTAACAATGACAAGATTAACTATAAATTAGATTGATACTTTTAACTTTTGAGTGCTTCTTATTTTATTCGTTTTGAAGGTCTTCGAGGTTCGATGACCGTAATTTTCTTCAAGTCATTGATATTTTAAAAATCCTGTTGATTTTCCATGTCCTCAAGCTCAAGAACTATTTTTAAAATCAGTTAAAAATTTTCTTTTTTTTTTTTTTTATTTCGATGAATATTTTATGGGACAGGAAGTGATAAATTATATCTTAACCCCGAAAATGTTTTCATTATTCTATCAAGGTTTAGATTTTTATTATTCACGAATGCCTAATTTGGGTTTTTCTAGCTTCCAGTTATTTTTTTTTTTTTAAGGTTAAAAGAAACCAGTTTAATTCAAAGTATAAATGTAAATTTTGTTTCTCCTTCTCAAGGTAAAACTCTTAAAGATTACGAAGAGAGATGACAAAGAAATATTAATTAATTTATATTAAATGGAATGTCTGTAAACTTGTTTCATTTTTTTTTGTTAAAAATATATTGTTAGTCCTTGAACGGTTTTTTTGTCTTCTGCTGTAAACGATGATAGTTTTGCATCATAAATCGGGGTAAACGATTTTCATTACATTCAAAAAACAAATAAGAAATAATTTACTGAACTTAAAACATGAAAACGAACCAAATAGGATGGAAAATTACAAACGATATGGCAACAGGACAGCTCAGAAAGTAACAGAGGCCTGGAGCAAAATACATATTGAGGACCCATAGCAAATTAAACTAAAGGAAGTAAATAGAAAAAGTATTTTATAGGACTCTTCTTCCTTAAGCCCAGAGCAATTTACTCCTTTTTCTCCTCTCTGGACATTCCCGAATATATAATTGTAAGATAACAAATGCTTTATTGTCATATATGCATTAACGCAATATATTGACAATTGTGAATGTTAGTAAGTTCAAATAAACATTACACTACGGGAAAACAGTAAAATAGAAAGTGTAGTATATCGAAGACAAAACCTAATACTTAATAGTACAGATTTAATATTCATATTTTTATAGGTTACATTTTCATTGGCCTATTTTCCTTTCAGGAAAACTGTACAATATCCATCGATGAATCTTACCTATTTAAACTTTCTTTTGAAGTTTTTTTTTTTCATTGTTATCAGTTTACGCAATTCATATTAATGCTCGATCATCTCGGAGATCGAGCACAAGGAAGAATCGATACTAAAAACAAAACTAGGAAATAGAACGTATACGTCAAGGGGGGAAAAAACGGTTAAATGTTAATTGTTGGATGCGTTTACGCTTTGTGAATTCGAAAGTCAAAGGAATTGACGTTTTGACAAAGAACCAAAGAAAGTCAAAAGATTTAGGGCAATTTGAGCGTTTGACTGATTCCAGACGTGATGAATTAAATGAACGATTTGAAATTTCCGCATGTCGCTTATCCAACAGAGGATGGCAGAAAATATCTTTTATGCTGTTTAAACAAAAATTGATGTTCTTTGAACTTTGTTAAGAGTTTATATCTTCAAGCATCGTTTAACAGAAATTTCGAATATGAAAGGTGTGAAAATAAAAAAAAAAAAGATGAGCTATTAAAAATCGTGTTGTTTTCGTTAATCCGAAACTTTTAAAGACGAAATTAGGACGTTGTTTCTTATTTAATGCACGTTTAAACTCGTCAGATGGGTTATAAAATGGAATGTTGCTAAAGTCGTGCCCTTTCGGATGACTGAATGACATCGGCGGAACAACTACAAACTAGGACAAAAGTTAATTCGATTCCCGATCAGATACCAAAACACGTCACGTTCAGTTAAATGTTTCATTTATCAGAATATTGACGGATGATTTCGTAGGGTGTATCGAATTTTTTTCTATTTATTTACTCTTCGCATCAAACGTTTATCAATTGCTTGGCTTATCAACACGCGTGGCTAATTTGACTAATTGAATTATTGCTTTTCTTTTTATATAGTTGAATTGCCGATCAATCGTAAATCGTCATGGATAGATATCATTGGGGAACATTTCCTGGCCGTCCCATGGATCACGAAACCAGAACACCCATGGCTTGGCATTATAGAGATAGAACGCATCCACACTGGGATTACAGACCCTCTTCTCCATCTTTAAGTTCGACTTCAACAGATTTTCAGGACAAAGCACCTATAATGCAAGATCGTCGATACAGAAATACAACACTGAGATCAACGAGAAGTGTTCCGGCCTTAAATTTGATGTCCGAATCGTGCCCCGTACACTCTCAACTTCCACATCCACCCGGTGATAATCTTCGGAGGTATGGTTCCATGTATGACATCAGAGCACCACCTTATTATCCCGATGAAAATGACATGGCACAAAATCTAGAAAAGAAATCTTTCCACGGATCTATGCCTTCGATACCACGTTTTCCACATCATCATCCTCCTCATCTACCTCCTCACTTTGTCCCTCCCGTGCCACGTCCATACAATCCTTACTTGTATCATCCAATGGGAGCGGATCCATTTTCGTACAGAATGTTTCCTCCTGTACTAAATTCCAAGGATCCGAATGATTATAAAATTTTTATGCCGGGATTTATTCCGAAGAATATGTCTGATCCTTACAGTATGGATCAAGTATGTTGCAAAGGACATCTTATAGTATTATGGGTTATATTGGGTGTTGTTACCATAGGAGTGATATTAGGTATTGTATTGGGAGTGATGTTGACATGATATCTGTAGAATTCATTTTGATATTTGTAAAACTTTCATTAAATTTCTTTTTATTTTTGAGAGAGATTCATTTATATCTAAAATACAAACATAAAAAGTTGCCAATTATTTCAATCTACCCTTTTAATTACTAAATATACAATTACTTGGTTAAATTATTAAAATTATAAGAGAACACACAAGAAAAAAACTTCAAAAAAATAAATACATAAAGCAGTTTTTAATTAATTCAGCATAAAAGACAACTTTGTTGTTAACATTTATATATTTTTTTTAAACCTAACTTTTAGGCTTTTATTTCTTATACAATTTAAATTATATAAGATTATATAAATAATAATTTATAAAATTTTTATTAACAATAATTTTTGAATGTCTGTTTAAAATGTAGTTATATGTAAAAATCTTATGACACTAAATGTTTTTTTTCTACAAACTATTTTAAACAAATAACATAATTACAAATACATATTTATATAATAGATTTTCCTATAAGAAAAGTTCATACAAAAACGTTTTTACGCTACTAACATTTCAATGATACAATGATCAATACAATTATGATATTTATAAGAATATTTTCCTGAGTTTAACAATAAAAAAGATCTTATTTGTGCCAATTAATAAAAATAATTTTTTTTTCCTTTCAGAATATACAAAATTTGAAAGTAAGAAACAATTTTTTAAATAAAAAAAGAAATATTTTAAAACAGAACAAATTGTTTATTTCATTTAACTGTACATTATTTATACATGTTAAATAATGATATATATATAAATTTCTGAGTAATCATAAAATTAATCATTTTTGTTAGTGATTGTTCCATCTTGATGACTGGATAAACCACAAATTTCATTTTCAATGTTCTTAAGAGCCCAGTGATGTTCACAAATTTCTAATGCTTCCCATTCTGCCTGTTAGGTAAAGTGAAATATGTTTTCATTTGTTTATAAACAAACTGTACTAACATTTACAGAATCTAATTTTTAGAAAAACTCGAAAAGAAATATTTAAAAACTAATAAGTATATAAATAATCAGTTATTTTTATATTGAAAAATTTTTTATAACAGCTACCTTGAATGCCTGTTTTGGATCCGGTGGCATGGCCATGGCGGCTCCGGACATCTGATCCTGCATGGCACGGGTCTGATCGGCGGCTAGTATAAAAGCGTAATGACGACATTATTATGGTGATTAAAACATTTTAAAAGTTTTCATTGATTTAATTCTTAAATACTTTCGAATAAGACTTCATTTTTCTTAGTTAATCAAATCTAATATATACAAAATTTCTGTATAAAAATTTAGGTTTCCTAACCAAAAAAAATCATAAAAATAAACAGACTGAAAAATCAAAAAATTAACACCAAAATTATATCAATTTTATGAAATCTTAACTTACAACACCTAATCATGATTTACACTAGAATTTCCAATCAGAATGAAAGTTTGAAAGGGTGTGCATGAGCAAATTAGATACATATCATATATACTTGTATAATATTTTAACCAATTGAAGAATTATTTAGTAAATACAATGATTTAAAAATTCTTGAAAATATTTTCACTATTATTTTCAAAACTTTCCAAATATAAAAAAATTTATTAAAAAAATAAAGCATATATTACAGGGATCAATGGAAAATATCCTTAAAAGGGAATCAATACATGAAAAAGGTTGGAAACCCAATTTGCACAATATCCAAATGGCACGATTTTAATTTAACAGCCAGAAAACTGTATCAAAATTTCATTTTACACAATAGAGTTTCATAAAATTTTCCATTCCTAATTCTTTGCTCATCTAGATACAAAATTGCATGAAATAGAAAAATACTCTCTCACTGAAAACTGAACTTCATTTTATTGAATTTCAGGGAATCAAATAAATCTAAATTCTTTGTTCTTTTATTAGTTACTTCAAATACTGAAAATTCAGCCTTCAGTGTCTTTAGATTTAATATTAGGTTTCTTCATGTTCTTGAAAAAACCTATAAATTGATTATTTTATATATTCATTTAGAGCATTGTCTTGATTAATTGTTTCTGTCTCCAATATATTCATCATTAGAATCTGTTTCCATAAAACAATTTGGATACATTCTGGACAATATTTTTTCCAGGTAAATTAATAATATTTAGTTTTGAAACTAGTGGAAGTACACTAGAGTATGAGAAGCCATTCTTCCAACTCTAAAATGTTTTCTCAATTTTTGTCTCAAATTATAGATGTCAAGCACAATAAATGATAAAATAATTAAAACCTGGAACAAAATTAACATCATATAATAAACAAAAGTATCCTCACTATTACAGCTTAATACAAACTTCAACACCAAGAAATACCAAACAGTATACTCAATATCAGAAAATTTATAAAAAAGTAAATATAAATTTACAAAATTTTTGATAATGGATTTTACTGAGAAAAAGTATCAATGTATTCAATAAACCATTTAGAACAAAATGCTGGAATCAAAAAATTAGTAATGGAAATGACAAGATTTTCAACTAAAAAAAGAAATGATTTATTATTTTTTCAAAACCGCAATGCAGCGTAATAATCAACACTTGGCATAACTCATTCATTTATTTCAGTTTTTGTTGACAAAAATATAAAGATACAACACGGTTTCGAAATATGAAATGATTTATTGTTTCTTTATCAACAAATGTATAAGATACAGAATAAAATTTCATTTTCATTCATTTTATAATGGTTGATAGAAAAACAGAATCTTGGAATCTATCCCTGTATTTCCCATATAAATATCAGTCTCAATTTACATAATTTCAGATTTACATGGAACCAATCTACCTTGTAAATCAAGGGTTGGGTGTAATATATTATATATTGGGTGTATTGATGTTTAGTTTAGTAAACAAAGTATGCTAAAATTTAATCATAAATTATAAAGTTCTACATAGTGAAATTTCAAAGTTTTAAGAGTGTTCTTAAGCACCAAAGTAGTTTTATGCATTTTTTTAAATCTGACTCTATATGATCATAGAGTCTTCTACTGATCTTGTTACCCCATTCAATACTTCAATAATTTAAATGTTTTTTCAGCTTAAGAATACTTAAGCTGAAAACTTCCCATCAACATTTTTAACCGAAAGAGAATTTAGCATAGTCAGCAATTTACTAACAAAGAAAAGAAACAGATTGTCAATAGTGGAACGTGGTGATTTAAGATTGCTGATGACAAATATGGCACCAAATATCAAAAAATTAGTGTCATTACACCAAGCTCAGCCCTCTCGCTAATAATATTATATTAATTTTTTTTAACAACATACAGTACATATGTTAATCAAACTTTGAGCAACACACCAATATTGTTAATATCTTTTAATAAAGTAATTTTAAAAATCTGTCCTAGTTTTTCAATATATAATATAGTATACTTCACCTAAGAGGGGCACCATTGAATTATTGTTTGAAAAAGTGGGCTATGACCCAAAAAAGTTGTAAAACCATGGGTTACATTATTGATTTCAAGAATGGGAGTCGATGTGTTTTTCTGAAAAGGGAGTGGCAAGTAATTTTTCCTCAAAAGGGGGTAATAGGCCCAAAAAAAGTTGGGAACCTATGATTTAAAGGGTCTGCTATTTATAGGTAAATATTACAGATGTCCTATTTGAAGAGTCTGGGGATTGTAAAAATGTCTGTTAAGTACAGGTGTCTGTTATTTGAGATTGTCTGTTAATAGAGGTTTCACTGTATAATTACTGTAGTGATATTAGACCCCCCGAATGCAGTCTTGTCAGCCCAATTCAATCTCTTTACTAGCAGCAATAAAAGTAATAAACAAAGGGTTGTAAAAAGTATGGAGAAGTACAGCCTAAAGGCTTTTAGCTGAAAGACTACAGTCGACCCCCCTATAACACTGTTGATTATTCCATTTTATATGAATTCCATGTTGTACGAGTCACTTAGATTTTACAAATACGTGTGCCGGGCTATGAATTTGTAAAATCTAAGTGATTCGTACATGGAATTCATATAAAACAGAATAATGAACAGTGTTATAGGGGGGTCAACTGTATTAAGAAGTTATCTATAGTATAATCTATATTATATATAGACTACTCTACAATATATATTGCTGGATGTACAGTATATTTACATGTTCTTTTATTTATTGTACATGTTTGGCTTCTAAGAATGTTAAAGTTTAAAATTTAAAAGTAAAAAAAAAAAAAAATGTTCTAAATTTCAAATACTATAATGGATAATGAGAGATTTGAATGCTGTAAGGGATAACAAAAAATTCAATTTGATAAGATTAAAGAGTTTTTTTGAATTCTTCTCACTTGAAGAGGATTTTAAATGAGACCTGTAGTGATATTGGATTCTCTACAATTACATTAATAATAAATTTTAGAAATTCAGAAAAACAATTATGCAGATAATAATGCCAACATGGAAATTGTTACATTAAACAAATAGTCATTATTTTTAATGTATTTGTCAACTTGACTTCAAATGTTAATGATATCAATCTTATATGTTATGATTAGAACCTTTATGAATTATAAATAACAAATTTTCATACTGTATAAAACTACTCATTCACAAAAAATATGCTATTTTAGTGATGACTTCAGTAAAAAACAGAATTTTCTACAACATTTTACCAATTCTACTCACATAATAGATTTTTATTTGGAGGAGTAAAAAATACAACCTTTCATAAATTTCTCAAAATTTAATAATTTTGAATTAACCAGAAATAGATTAATCAAAAATACAAAAAAAATCTAACAAGTATGTCTGATGCAAAGATAACTTGAAAATATTTACTTCAATGTAATTTTATAATAATCAAAATATAAACAATAATCATCATCAGAATAAAAAAAAAATTTTAATGAAATTGATAGAAAATATTACCATTATTTTCACCAAGAACAAGAGCATAGATGCTTCTCAATCCAAACACATTCAAGAAATACCAAGAAGCTGAGCTGACCCTATTATAAATATGAAATAATCTTTAAAAATATTGAATATCACATACAAATATATATAAACAGCATAATATAAAATAACTTTTTTATATTTTTGGGTGAATTATTAATCTAAACATACTAAATAAAACAAAAATTTCCATTATAAATTATTGTGACTATTATAAAATCACTAATAAATAGTTCATACTTTAATAATCTTTAAAGAAACACTTTATATTGAGTGATTTAAATTTATGACAGCTGTAAAATCTTTATTATTAATAAAACAAAATAGTAATAATAATTTAAATATCCAAATGGTATTATCTAAAACATTTTTAGCATTACATTTTTTTATATTGAGATTATTATTTAACTATTAAAACAAAGTAAGAATTCAAGTCAAATCTTTTCATTAAACATATGTTTATGTTACTAAAAAATGTCTTTACCCATTCTTTTCAAATTGCAGGAGTTTTCTAAATAACAGATTTGCACATACAGTAATACTATTGAAATTTGTCATTAATAATCAAAGAATTTACACCTAAATTTTTTAGAATAATAATAATACTGTTACTTTCTTTTTCCACTAAATCTATCTCAAAAATTCACTTTAAATATAGAATTGAAGAAGATTAAATAATATCTAATTTAATATTTATAATATGGCAATTATTCAGCCTTTAGTTTTTAAAATAGTCAAGAAAAGCAGTACATTCTGAGTATTTTCATTATATAATATCATATAATTGTGCACTATCATATCATGTACACCAAATATTGTATGCCCATGAGGATTTCCTACCTTTAAGAGATACAATGAAATCAGAGATATAAAATAAACTGTAAGGATTACATTTATTGCAGATTAGAATTAATATATTTTATAGACAATTTTTACCTTATATAAACATTTTAAAACATATAATATAAATTGCTTTTCCCTGGAAGCCAAATTTTATTTATTAACTTTAGATTGTCTTTAGCTTTTACTTGGGAATATTTGAAAGTGGAATGTCAGTTAGAAAACCAACAAAATTAAATTTTTAAAAATTCAAAAAATTTTAAATATTGTATTTCAGAAAACTTGACTTCCAGGAAAAAGCAATTCCTATACTAAAATGTAGCAATCAAAGCACTTTCCAGCACAGGAATAGATATCTGATAAATGTTAGTCAGACATCAATTCCTCTGCTGGCATTTCTGAGTAATGAAAAAAACTCTTCCTGTATGTTGTTAGCTTTAATTTAACTATCACTTTATAGATGACAAAGCTTTTTATTGTTAAGTGATGGCCTTGTATATTTTATCTTTCTTGAAGCTGTGTATTTGGTTGTCTTTTTCCAATTTTCTTTCATGTTGTTTTTGGCTATAAATTTTTGCAGCACCTCTATTGCTTCTTGAAACATTGTATCTCATATGTCTCACAATTGTTTGTGATCCATTTTCTTTTTGATTAATGAATGGTTTCAATTTTTTCTTTTTCTTTTGAAACCTCCTCTTTTCATTCCTGCCTCAACTTATCAATTTCATCTTCTTTTCTTCTGTTTTTCAGTTGTCCTTTTACAGTCTTCAAGATAACTCTGGTAACACTTACATGTACCTTGTGCTAGGACGATAAGTTTTTTATAATATGCACTAGATGGGAGTTGTTTTAATACTATCTTAGTTAATTGGGTGTTCTTTCTATGTGTAATTTGCCTTCTGTTAAAGCCCTGCTAGAAACAGAGAATTGGTATTCTATATCAGCTTTACTATGATACAAAGTTAATACTGTGATATACAAGCTGTAACTATAATCATCCTCTGTACACTTTCTGTATATCTCATCCCAAAACATATTCATATGATAATGTCCTAGTACATTTTTTGTTTTTACCAGTTGAATGAGCTTCCATTCATCTAATAGGATCTTCAATTTCAATTGACAGGACTCTTTGTCATGCTCACTTCTTGCATTTTTTCTCAATTCAGTTGAGTCTCATGGTCCAAAGTAGCTCAGAACATAATGTCCTTTTTTTATGTGACATATCTACTGTCTGAAATATCATATGACTGGACATCCTTTAAGAACTTCTTTGCATGTACTTGTTCCAATCCTTTAATGTAGCTTTCACTGCACATGTGTGAGTAATTTCTTCAAGAGGACACACTCTTAAATCTGCAAACAATTATTTTGCATTAACATGTCTGGACATCTTTTTCAGTTCTTTTAATACAGCAGACTTGCATGCATATCCAGCTGAAGTTTGAAAAAACTCAACCATATCAATGTACAACTTGTGTATCAGGTTCATCATGCTAAAACTTATCAGTAAAACTGTGAATAATGCTGCTGATGACTCAACAAAATTCAGTTCTGCTTTCATAGTAGAAGTCTTCAAAAATTTTGCTACTTTCTGATAGGAAATGCTTTTTATAGCATCCTTCAAGGAAAAGAAACCAAAAATTAAACTGAATACAGACTTTTAGAGATTACTTTAAAAAAATAAACAAAGAGAAAATAGACTAGTTATGAAAAATTTAACATGAGATGGTGGTTGTCATCATCTCATGTTAAATTTAATAATTAGAAATAAACAAACTTAATTTAGAATATTCTAGAAGAAAGTATCAGTCTGGAGCAGAACTCAAACCTGCAACTCCTGTTTAGCATGCAGATATGTTGCCAATTATGCTACCCAGACCGCCACTGATCTTCACTTTCAGATTAATTTAGCTATAACAATATTGGTCAATCAAGGAACCAACTAGAGATGAATTAGTGAACTCAGCTGACTTTTGCTTTTTATCCCAGCATGATATACATATAAAAACAAAAAAACAACTCAACAATTTAAATGCAAATTGAAAATATGTTCATATCTAAATTACTTAAGTCTGGAAGTAAAGATCAGATGTAAGCCCAGGTAACATAACTGGCAATGTATATGCATGATAAGCAGAAGTTGCAGGTTTGAGTCCTGCTCCAGACTGATCCTTCCTTATAGTATATTCTAAATTAAATTTATTTATTTTTAATTACAAAATATGACATAAGATGATAACTTAATCACCTACCTCTAACTGAATTACTTTTTGATTAATTAGCCTTAAGTAATTTGATAAAGAAGCCAGCTGTTTGTTTGGTATTTAAAGTAATTATCAAGTTGGTTATTAAATAAAACTTTTTATTTTTGCAGAATTTGATTAGTATTGAATATGAAATAATGGCATTACACAGGCCTTTAATTATTTCTATTAAATAGATTGAAGGAAAAATATCATCCCAACAGATAAGAGGAACAGTACACTATATGTGAGGGCTATTGGCATTGCCAATGGAAAATCCATTTTAACTTCTTCATATGTAATAAATATTACATAACAAAGCCAACACTTTGCCTTCCCAGATTATAACTCTTCTATTAACTTCCATCAACATTTCACGATCTTTAGTAAAAAGATTATTTTTGAATCAAATTACATCTGTAAGCCTAGATTACATCAAACATTTTGCATGTATATGGTTTTTTCCCCTCCAAACTATTTAATAGGAACAATTAAGGCCCTATGTATGCACCAAGAGCTACTAGTGATTGCATTACTTTCAAGCATACTGTTATTCACATTGTCAATCTAAAATTAATCTGTAAATCATTATAATAATAATAATAATAATAATAATAAATTATGTATTAAAAATAATTACCATGATGCATCCAATGACATTAATTCAATTCCTCGTTGTAACATTGGTTTGAAGCGTAAAGTTAATGGAAAGGGAACTTTAGCTGTAAGGAAAAATAAATACTTAAAATAATCATTAATAAAAGATCATTTCAACATTTTACTGTTACTGATATAAAGTTTTTANTGCATCCAATGACATTAATTCAATTCCTCGTTGTAACATTGGTTTGAAGCGTAAAGTTAATGGAAAGGGAACTTTAGCTGTAAGGAAAAATAAATACTTAAAATAATCATTAATAAAAGATCATTTCAACATTTTACTGTTACTGATATAAAGTTTTTACTATATTTATGAAATTTTAAATAATAGTATAAATTTTCATAATGATTTCTTAAAGTAATTTACAAATGCAATGTGTAGGTCCACTTCTAAGAAAGAAAATGTTTTCCATATCCTTACAAAATATTAGTCTTCAAGTATTTGTTTAAAAAGAATTAAGATTTGTTCTGAAATAAAAAGTCTGAATAAAGTAATAAAGTATATATTTAGAATAGCAAGTAATTTGGATATTATAGAAAATATTAAAAAATGAATTTTTGAAAAATGAAGAAAGGACTAATAAAAAGTATTATTGTTAGAATATTATAAACATAAAAAAAAAAGGAAAGGAATTAGATTCTTAGACACAAATTTCATATGTACTAACTACATAGAATGAATTAGGAATTACACTAACAGTAAACAGTTTACTGGTAATCAGGGAGAAAATGCATCAGTAATTATACCAGTAATTTGATATTTTATACCAGTAAATATGAATTAATAGGTAGATATGTAATAATTTTTGAAGCCAAATATTTATTTATTTGGATACATTTTTATATATTAAAAACAGGAGCGTCAAACATTTTTATTTAAACCAGGGCTTCTTAAACTATGGGTTGCGACCCCATTTGGGGACGCTCAGCAAAATCTTGGGGTCACGAAATTTTAATGCAAAATATTGAAAATAATTTTTGAGAGTTTGAAAATGACACGCTTTGTGTCATAGGTTTCGTGAGTTCCATTTTGTGTCACTTTTAGTGCAGCGAGACAACAATTTAGCAACACTGATTGTAGTGTGAACTAGAGTAGTATTGTCACTTTTCAGTGTACTGTATTCAGTTGTCTTTGTTCCATTGTAACACAAAAGTGAACTGTGTTACAATGGAACACAGTTCACTTTTGTGAACTGTGTTCCATTTTTTCCACCTCACTTTTTGCAAATTTGTATATATCTTTATTTTATATATATATATTTTTGGGGGGGGATGCGAAAAAAATTACAATCATAAACGGGGTCGCGAATAAAAATAGTTTAAGAAACCCTGATTTAAACCATAAAAGTAGTTTATGTCATTTATCTTTTAAATTATTACTTTACATTTCTTTACAATATTTAAAGTATCATATAACAGCATTATTCTGGACAGTTTGGAAATTTGTTTCTTAACATAACATCTAGAGCACAATAATGATTTTAGTTGACAAAATGAAATACATTGAATGTGAGAGCCAATTTTTAATCACAGTAATGTAAGATTCCAATTTTACTCTCTACTGTGAAATAGTTATGATACTGTCAAAGAAGGGCACACTCAAAACTATCAACATCCATACAGTTCGAATAAATGTTGAATCCCTTTCCATGAGAAGCTAAATTGCCTACATTACTCTAGTGAGTCATTAAACAAAATACTGATTGGCTATAATTAATGAGTCCAAAATCTACAAAAGGCAAAAGAGGGAAAGAAAAAGAGTCCCTGCTGGATACTTGCACAAGATTCCCTTTATGAAGGAAGAAAATTTTAAAATTTTCATTTTGTAAAATTTATGACTTTACCAGTAATAAAAAAGTCAGTAAATTTGCAACCAATAAAATTGATAAATTTTTTAAAATACATATATTTATAACTGGAACTGAAATGTTAAATATATTTAAAAAATGGTCCAGTAGGTATTGCTAGTTCAGTTGCTAAGCAGCAATATTAAGAAAACTGGAAGAAACTAAATCAATCTTTAATATTCAGATTTGAAACTGGAAACTATTTTCAAAATGTCCCAGCTTTGTATTAAATAGATTTTGAATATGAAAAGAGTTCTTACTGAAGATACTACAAAGTAGTTGTAAAGTTTGAAATACTGGCTACTGTAAATTGGCTACTGCATGAATAAGCTGTGTAATGCTACAGCTTATGCAATGCTGTGTTAATAACTTATACTTAACTTAATAAAATTATAAACTCAATTAAATGAGAAAGCATTTTCTATAAACATTAAGTTACCTGGAATTTTAAATGCATTTCTTTTGAATGAATTTAAAAAATGAGAGAGCTGAATATTTATGTAATAACTACTATCAGTAACATTAAAACCATAGCATAATAAAGGTTGTAGACATTTTTATTTTATTGACAAGACTATGTCTTGTTTATAAAATCGCACTGCCAGTCAATATTATCAGCTTAGAGATATGAAGGAGTACCTGTCGAGAGTTGATATTTGGCACAGAGTATTAGGTGCCCAAATCATTTGCGCATAAAAAATTCCAGACTCATAGGTAGTCAGGACCGAGAATAGAGTCAAAATAAAATACAAAATGGCGACCCTCTTCTACAAAAAGGCAAACCAGCCACCTCACCCCACCGAAGTTGGTAGGGGAGAGTACCACCCACAGTCATTCTAAGAAGTGAACTCTGACCTTAGGACTGAACATGTAGTTTCTTCTAGGCTAAATAAAATTTGTAATCTAATTTTGTAAATTTGGGAGTGCTTCAAATGTGATGTTAAAATGGTTTTATGTCATTACAAGTGGGCTTTTTTTAAACATTATCTAGTATAGTAAAATTGTAGGACCAATAAAAATTTGACGTTATATTAGCGTTGTCGTTACATTCGATGACATTATAATCAGGTTAAACTGTATATTGTTTGTGCAAAATAAAAAAATAATTTCGGACGATACAATAGCCACAATTATTTTTTTCAAAAACAGGAACTTTTGGTTACGCATCGACAAAAATTCAACCCGGGCCGAGGCACAACGGAGAGAAATTTCGAAATTGGATGGGTTCATTTCATCAAAAATGCATGGTGGATGACCTTGTGGTCATGGCCAGTGAAGTCTGAATGATCGCACCCAAAAGCAGTGATACCAAAGAAGATTGAAGAATGAGAACGAGACCCGCTTTGAGCGTCAAAGTGAATCTGCTTAGTAGTGAGTCTCCAAGACATAGTCTTGGCCCAAATACGGTTTTGCCGTTTTACTTGTTTAATTCTAAAATGTTTATATTACAATAAAATGCATTTAAAACATTAACACTTAATATATTATACATTATAAAAAATAATAACTGCTATTAAAACATTTCAAAAATCTATTACTTTATTTATATAGATTCATATTTGTTGCACTTAAAAATTTTTTAACTGGAGCAGACAAAAATATTGCTAAAATTTGTTAAAATAGTTTTCAATTCAAATATTACATCAAGTAATATTTATCTTTTACTTATTCAATCTAATAATAATTTCAAACTAATAAAGAACAAATACTTAGTCATATTGTAAAAAATGTAAAACAACAGTAATAGCAGTAATGGAAAACATTTACATACTGGTCACAAATCCTGAAAATGTCCAATTAATCCATCCACCAATCAAAATCATTGGCAGTACATTAGTGAGATTTCCTTTCAACATATCAGTCATCATTGTTGGATCTGTCATTGGATTTTGCATAGTAGGAGAACGTTTCTGAGTTTTAAAATAGCCTGTTTCTTCATTGTTGAAAAAGTGCTTTCTCATTAAAAATGCCTAAAATTAATAAGCAAATATAAGTAAATTCTGATACATTTAATTAAATACTAATAAATTACAAATGCAGATCTTAAAAAATCCTGTATTTGAAAATGAATGATCAATTTAAATAAATTGTATGTATACTCATTATATATTAGTAAGAAATACATTTATGATTTCTGATTGAAAATGTATTATTTTTCTCTAGCTATAATACAGATATGTTGAGTGATTCTTTGTTCCAACATTACCTTTTGGACTCTAAATAATAAATCTTTTTGAAAAAAATTTTGAAAAGCATATAGAAAAAAAAGCATCCCTGACAGATACACATTCCAAAACCTATTTCTCGAATACAGAAAAAGTATTAAACAACATACTTAATTTAATTCAAAATGCATCTATCTGAATATAATAAGTTGAGGCTTTCATTCTAAAGACAGCTGTATTATTAATTGAATTGTTGATCAAAAACACTAATAAAGTCACTTTTATCATGTAGCAATTACCATACAATTACCATTACAAAAATGCTCATACACAATTACTAAAATTCAATCACACAAAATGCTTAACAATAAGAGAAGGCAAGATTCAGTCTCTGGCATGAGACTGAATTTTGATGAGTAGATGAGGTTAGGTTTTTTCAAGGGAATTTTCCAACCAAAAGAACCACTTTATCGAGCAACTGGGGCCGTATATTGGCAATAACACAACAAATGTTGACTTCCAAGTGGTCCAACATCTGTGGTTTATCAGCATGAGTAGGTTAGGTAGGTTAGGTTTTTTCAAGGGAATTTTCCAACCAAAAGAACCACTTTATCGAGCAACTGGGGCTGTATATTGGCAATAACACAGCAAATGTTGACTTCCAAGTGGTCCAACGTCTGTGGTTTATCGGCATAGACTAGTGACTTCACATATCCTCAAAGAAAGTAATCCATAGGTATGAGATCACATGATCGTGGAGGCCAGTTCACAGGTCCATTACGCAAAATTATCAAATGTTTCCTGCAATAAACTGATGGTGTCACGCGCTGTGTGGCATGTTGCACCATCTTGTTGAAACCAAAGCTCTGCCATATCAATACCATTCAACTGACGAATGAAGAAGTCAGCAGTCATGGTTCCAAAAGCGCTCTCCATTGATGGTAACATTCTGGCTGGCATTATCTTTAAAGAAATATGGGCCTCTGATTCCACCTGCCCATAAAGCACAACAAACAGTGACTTTTAATGGATGAAAGTTACTCAACATTTGCAGCAGTATTGCCGATATATGGCCCCAGTTGCTCGATAAAGTGGTTGAAAATTGTTCTTCCCGATTGCGCTTCATTCAAGCCAGCCATGGCGCACATATGCCCGAAATCATGTTTAAACACTAATGACATAAAATTATCTTTTAAATAAAGCCAACACCATGGCCATTAACATTATTTTTGTGTATTTCATTTCATTTTAAATTTGTATACCTCTAAAAAAAAAACACCCTATATATTGAGATTGAAAAAATTTACATTCCTGAAAGGGAAGTTTGTGCAATGCAAAGAATATCCATGGCCAGAATAATATAAATTGAAAACATTCCAGAAAACAAAAATTTTGTGTGTGATAAATTTATGAAATTTACACAGCATTAAAAATATCACATGTACAGTGTATCCACTTAAATAGCTATCCAAGGATTGGTTGGTTGGGTTTGGGTATATGGTACAAGGGCCTTGGTAGACCAAGAACTACTAGGTCTAGACATTTGGATATTTAAATACCCTTTTAATTGTTTTAAGAATCCACAAATCTTTCTATTGTATTTACTGTTTTAGAGTACAGAATATACATTTTATTGCTTGAAGACATGTCATAAGAGATTGAATCTGTCCATTGTCATCTAAAAACATATGTAGAACTGTCTATACAGGGGAAAAAGAGATCTTACCGGCATTGGTTAGCTTAGATTGTGAATTGCAGTGGACACAAATACATGCTATTAAATCACCAAGACATAGACCCATTTTTCTGCCATCTGCAATCAGCACAACATGCAGATAATGTTGCACAATACGAGTGATACATGGCATTAAATTTACAGAATGACAAATCACAACTCCTTCAGCACATTTTATGGAACTGACAAGATACTTTTTTTACTAGAACAGAGTAGTTATCCCTTGCTTAATGCAGTTTTGCGTAATGAGGGATTTGATTAACCTACAAAATTAATTGTGGAAATCCCTTTATATATGTAGCAAAAGTTTTAATTAACGTGGCTTTACCAGCCATTTTTACTTAACATAGCTACCATATTTGATTAATGCAATTTTGATATATGCAGTAGCATCAAGGGATACCTGTACATAACCATCACAAGATGCATCACTGGGCAGAGCGTAAAAAAAAGTATTTTAAATAAACTATTAAAAATTTGATTACTTTATTACGAATCATTACATGTTTTATTTATTTATCCAGTTACTTTTAATACAATATTTAAGATTGAAGGACATCATAATTGAAGACCTCTTCCAGATGCCCTTTTAACAATGGTAGAACTTTAACTCTTGGATAAGAATATTGCTTTAACATTTAAAATTAGTATTAATTAGTTCACTTCAAATATAAAGGTTATTAATAGATTTTTTATTTTAGTTTATTAATTGATGTGATTTCTTTTATGTAATTATGTATTAAATTTCAACATTTTATAACTAACCAAACTGGAGAATATGTACCTATTAATAATTTACATTCAAGAAGAACGAATTGTACAGGGTATCTCAAAAGGGTTTCTATACATACAAAGATAAAATGTAACTTTATTCACAAAACATTAAAATGTCAGCATTAAGATTTGTGTCGGTGCATCGACGGAGTAAGGCAAGAGAAAACATGAGTGATCTGACAACGGGGTAACTTCTAGAGGGACTTCCTACGTGGAAACTGGATTCCGTTTAGGTGTTAGACAGACAAAGAAAACCCAGATCATCACACAGTGGCCAACCCATTTGGTTCAAGCACAAGCCAGCATTCAACGGTTTTATTTATTCGGCCACCGGTGGGCTCGATTTGCGTCACCGTACGGATACTTTCGGGACACCCCGTATTTTCTCCAGGTAACGTAGATACCCCATTTTTGATGAATTTCGAAACAGTTTTATAAATAATTAGACTTATTATCGTAATTATTCCCATATCCAAGCAGTAACATTACCATATTTTATTTATAAAAGTTTTTAGTAGTGTAATTCAACCTGTATTAATTTTTTAAAAAAATTGAGTAAACATTACAAGCAGTTTATTTGCTGTAACGTTTGAATTCTTAATGGTAATTTTTCTTTAATCTATGTCAAAATAGATTAAACCTACTTGTTTAGGTATATACTTTCCATTTTCTCTCAAAAGACGACTTCTAATCATTGCTTGACTGAAAAAATTGAAAGGAAATTATTAAATAATCATTCAAATTTCATAAATTGGTAAAATTTGCGCTTGTAATTGATATTAAATGTAAGAAAACCCATTTGTTACCTGTCCTGGACTTGTTGAAGCTCCACTTTCTTAGTCGAAGAGAGCAAAATTGATACATAATGTCTTACAATTCCAATCAGAAATGTAATTACGACGATTGGCAAGAAAACCCAAAGACGAATATCAGAATCCAATAGTAGATCGGTCATATTTACGGTTCAGAAGCTCGAAATATTAAACACACAAAATTACTTGTAAACAGCAGACAAATCTAAAACGATACGTCGCGTGTCGCCTGCCACCTATTGTCAGGAATGTTTTAATTTTATTTATTTATTTATTTTCGTATAAAACGTTTAATGTGTAAAATTTTAACTAATATATTACAGCTTCAAACTTTAAATAATATAATAATTAAATTAATATATATATAGTATTGGAAGAAGGAGTAAGACCGTGGCCGTACTGTAGCGGGGCCGGTCTCCCATTTTTATAACCGGGCATGTCTCGAGTTACAGACGTTTTCGCTGATTATTTTTAGTTATATCGTTGCGTACGGGATAGGAAAGGTATAAGTTTACTATATGCCGAGTACTACAAATGTTGTAAATGAAACTGGGTAAAATTTTTTACATTCATCCGTTTTATGAAGAGTGGTTATGTGCTGGTACCCAAAATCAAATTCTTAAGAATTCGATTTATTTCACCCAATATTATTTCGCTTTTCGGAAGATTACTCGATCACCGTCGGGGTTGTACGTTTCGCGTATTAATGCAACATGAAACTGGATAAAGTTAATATCGAAAATATAGTACAAGCGAAACAGCGTTAAACCCAAGGACTTTAAACTACAGTACTACTGTAGTATATTGTCCTTGCGTTAAACCAGTGATATTACGATTTCGTATGTCCCATCTTTAAGGGGATGTAGGAAAAAACGCGTACAATTCTTGTATAATGTTAAAAAATTAACTGTTACTTTGGTAGCATAATTTACAATTAAATTTAATGAATGAGAGAGTTGCACGAGGTACAGAAAAAGTGTGATGTTTCGTTTGAGGGCAATATATTATTGCAGACAGGAAACATATAAAACGAGTAAAAATACAAAATTTTTTTTATTCATCAAACACAGGTTCTTTAAAATGATTCCAACTTACAGACTATTGGGTTCGTATTAGGGTTTCTCAAACGGGATTCCGGGATTCCGGGATCCCGGTTGTTTTTTTAACCCGGGAAATATCCCGAGAAATTTTTCTTATCCCGGGAAATCCCGCAAATTTCTTAAAAATTCACTTTTTTTCTTATTTTGTGTTAAGGTTGAGGAATTTTGTAAATAGAAAGCATAATTAACTCACAAACTGTCAGAATACATTTGTATTTATCAATTTTAAACCTACTTATTAATTTCTTAAGTTTTTGCTCATTATAGCATGCCACAAATGGTCAATAATCAATACATAGCTTATTTGTGTCATGACTCTCAAAATTCTTTACTTGTTGGAACCTGTAATATCTGGAATAATTGTGCTTATGCTGTCTTAATTTNGTAGTTGCATAGATGATTATGGTCCTCCCAAAATAATCAGACCTTTACTACTACAAGTATATCCATAATGACACAGTTATCAAAAGAAAGATCTGGTTAAATAGCAAAGTACGGAATTAAGTTACTGTTAATGCTAGATTTATCATCCATATCTTCAGGTTGGTTTTACTTAATTCAAATTTTTCTGAAGGAATATAATCATTCATACTTTTTAACTAACAGTTAAAAATTACAAGATAAAAGTTAATGAAAAGTAAGACAAACTAAGAATTGTACCAATAATAATAATAAAGTATACTGAAAAAGCCAGCGATGGATTGTGTAACTTTCCTGGCTGTAAAGAGATTTCATAATAAAATATAACTTTTATATTATAAATTATAACAGAAAGACAAAAGGTTTAATTTGGAGGGTAGGGATGACTTTTTAAAAATATTGTAAATGCAATATTGTAAAATGCAAAATATTCAAAAAAATGATAAAAAAGTCATTAAGTCCAACCTCATCTGAGATATGACACGGGACTCCCTCTATTTCCTCACTCCTCCACCTTTAACCACCAAAATTTAATAGCATCAATGCACCTTATACAAAAGCTACAAAATGTGAACTTTGTTAATTTTTACCCATCCTGAGATATTAAAAAATAGACACCAACAGAGATACATCCATGGAAATTTTCCTGGTTTTTTTTTTAACTTTTTGGGTTCAGGGGTGTCAAAACAGAGATTTGCAGAAACCCCGGAGGGTCAAATTTGACATAATTCCAATAATACTTTCCCTTATTATGTACACATAACATCTGGGAAAATAAAATTTAAGATGATTACAATACTTTTTCATGTTATATTATAACAGCAGGGAAAGTAAAAGGCAGAAAAATTTAGCAAGATCATAAGTATCAAAGAAAACAAACATTTAAAAATTATAAAATGTATATAGTACATTCTTATTGAACTGTGTTGATGGGTTCTTGGAAACTGAGACTAACTGAAACATGTAACAAAACCAATTGTATTATAGACTAAATGACAAACAGTTAAACTCCTATAGCATATTTCCAGTCACACAAAATCACTAAACTTCTAAAGACTAAAAACACTTCTAAGTATCATACATTGAAATAAAATTTATTTAATTTAATGTGAGTTATACATACATTTAAGAAAGATTAATAAAATCAAGGAAGATTATCATCTTTTGGTAAATCAGTGACTGATGTAGCTGTAGCAAACGTTGAGTGGTATGAGGAGGAAGGTTTAAGCTTCACTACTGAAAATGAGTAAAGTTAAGTAATGAAGAATAAATGTTAGCAAAGAAAAAATTGTAAGGAGCATCTCTTACCACAACACAGTCAAAAACAAACAATTGGCAATTTCCAAAGAACTAGAGGGCACTATAAAAATTATAAATGACAAAATTCAAACAGGGCAAGTTTGTTAAAATTTACATTTGACATTAAAACATCTTCTGTATTGTTAATGAAGATATAGGTTCGAGTTGTTTGAAAAAAGATCAAAGTATAACAAGCAATTCTTTTATTTTGACATTGTCACAATGCTGGGCTGCAATTTTTAATCATATTTTTAATTTATTTAATTTAAAATATATGTTCTCCAATTCAAATTAGTAGTGTCTTGCCCCTGTACATTGTAGTTCCTAAGGATCACCAAGGTGATCCGGAACGTGATGTGAGTAAGAAAGTGAGGACTTTACAACGAAATGGGATAAAAGAACTTTATATATAACTAATACCATACAATAGACATGAATTAATTTCCCTTTTTAGCATCAGACTAACGTGAACTCCGTTATTCCCGATATCACAATCTAATCCAATACTCGTGAGCCCCGTTAACAATCGCTCACGGAAATCTTACAGATGAATTACACTGCAGATCCGCACCACAATGACTCATATAACCAGTCGTCTCCCTCGTAAGTAGATGATGTTCGAATGGAGTTGCGACCACGTGGCAACTGCAAGAAAATCTCCCCTCGGACCGAAATAATGGGTTGTGAACAACAGGTTGACGGTATTCAATTACCTGACCTTAATCAGACAATTACCTAAAGTTCGCCGAGTCCGATGTAAACCGATTGCTTCCCTTACTATTCACTCCGTTCTAACTTACTGCTCCTCTGTCCTTCGTAGAGTTCGACTTCCGACTACCCTTGTCCGTTTCCTTCCGCTGTCAGCCTTCACACGGGAACCAGCTCAAAACCAAACACCCTCTCCTCGCTCTCGTCACTGGTCACCCCTTTTATTCCTTCTCTCCAAGCTCCTCCCTTCGCCTCCACGTGGTCACCAAGGGGCCAATCATAACACTTACAAAACCCACCATAAGGTGGCGCGCGATACAAAAATTTTTAAACCGAACAGACAAAGAACACGAGAACCCGAACAAAGGCATAACAAAACACACATATCAAAAATATAAAAAATAAAAAAAATAAAACAATACAAGTGCCTAACACTACATACCTCCCCCGCTAAATCCCAGAACCAAAATGCAATTTTCTAAAGTTGATCTTTCTATCCCTCAGATTGTAGGGTCGCGATTCCCTAACCGTGGTCTTACAATTACCATCGGCCGCCTCACTGACCTCCCTGGTATGTCTCCTATCGCGATACCTATAAATCTCCCGCACGTCGATATCCTCGTCGTCCTCAGCCAACTCCGGATCCGTTAATTGCTGTTTACGAGGACGACTCCTTCTGGGGGTCCGTATCCAACCATAGCAAGGCTTAAGCCTGTCAACATGTACAGTTTCGATGTCTTGGTTATTACACCCTTCTACCTTATAAGTCGTGGGATTTATTCTTTTTAAAATGCGAAAGGGGCCCAAATAGTTCGGGGCGAACTTATTCCTCTTGACACCCTTCCGTCTTATCCATACCCTTTGCCCCTCGTTGAATGTTAATAACTTCTTCCCTTTGTTTTTATAATCCCGGTTCTTTTTATTGCGGGAATCAATCTGTCTCTGTGCCAACTCTCTTGCAGCACGTAATTTAGTAAGTATGAATGATCTTCGTTCGTCCGTTGTCATTAGATTAGGCATATAATTAAAGGCTGGGGTGCGCGGATCCATCCCGAACAAAAGAAAAGCTGGTGACTCATCTAAAGCAGAATGGTGAGCGTTGTTGTAAGCAAAGCAAGCGGAAGGGATAAGATCATCCCAGTCCACATTCTTCTCACTCGACGCCTTAGATATCATTTCGATGAGAGACTTATTAGCCCGTTCACACATTCCGTTAGAACACGGGCGGTACGCGGTGGTTATGTTTCGCCTGATCCCCAGCCATTTACAGCAATCTTCAAAGAATGATGACAAGAAGTTAGTACCACGATCCGACATAATCACCTCCGGCACGCCGTATCTACAAACCACCTCGTCGAATATAATATTACTAACAGAGTATGCTGTTTGATCAGGTAAAGCGTGCGCTTCGATAAATCTAGTGCACACATCCACAATGACAAGGATGAACCGATTCCCCTTTTTAGTGGTTTTAATAGGGCCGATCATGTCCACCGCAATCTTTCTAAATGGGACATTAGCCTTCTCGTTCTCTTGTAGGGGGGCCTTACCTTTATGGATATTGTGACGTTGACAACTATTACATTCCCTAATCACAACTTCTACTAATTTCCTTAAGTCCTTTATAAAATAACTCCTCTCAATAAATTTCACGGTTTTTACAACACCCCAATGTCCAGATAAATCATTTTCGTGGATGGCTCTG